GGATTTAGGGGCAGAGAAACACCAAAGAACATCTCAAGTTTGTCAAAGGTTTTGGGAAGGCATTCGCTGAAGTTTCTTGATAAGTCGGCCAATAGCCTTGGTACAACTTAAACAGCACAAGGTACTTCACAAGTCTTTCGCGGGTCTTAGTAAGTAAGTCATTGAAGATTCATAGTAAGTTTACCACTACCATAGGGATGCCAGAAGTCGCCTGATGTCTTTCTCCACAAGACACCTTAAATGACTTAAGAGACGACTCGTGTCTTTCACTGGTCTTGATAAATCAGGCCCTTAAGTTTCTTGATAAGTCGTTCACCATCAGGGGTACACACTAAGTTACTTGGTGTCTTTTTTTTTTTTTGGAAATACATTAAGTCGATCAGGGCACTGTTCAAGTTTTAAACTGAAGTTTCTTGTTGTTTCCCTGAGACAAAGCTAATCTCTTGTTACCATGTGGGACAACATAACTTACTAAATGTATTTCTCCTTTGTGACAGCTTAATTAGCTCTGTTTACTTCTCAGGTGGTTCACCGAAGTTCCTTAATAAGTCAGACACAATCTTTGGGGCCCTTTAGTCGCCCAGTGAACTTCTCAAGTTGGTCACTGGTAAGTTGTTCACTGAAGGTTCTTGGTAAGTCAACCACTATCCTCGAGACACTAAAGTCACTCGCTGCACTCTCTTTTTGGGACACTCTAAGTCACTCAAGGTAATTCTCAAGTTGTTGAGAAGGTTATGGCTCAAGGTGGGCCTCAAGCAGTTTTGAAATTGAGTGCATCTGTATTTGTAATAATCCGTTTCATTGTTTTTTTTCACTACAATTATAAATAAAATATCTTGTGATATACTCAGTGGGGGCATGGGGGTCTTGCCATATACTGAACGTAGCATAAGGTCTTGCAATATACTCAAGGGGGGGGGGCATGGATGTCTTGCCATATACTCAAAGAAGACCTAGGGGTCTTGCCATATACTCAAAGGGGTCTTGCCATATACTCAAGGGGGTGTGACTTTAAAAGGTTTGGAGTCCACTGTCCTAGTGGATAAAAGGATAGATCATCATCCCCTGTGATGGAGGAATGACACATATTGTATTGATAACAATAACAACAAATTATTTTTTTTTAAACAGTACAATGAAGAATCTTTTTTCCGCCAGTGATGAACTGGGCACATGATGCTAGGCTCAACTGTCTATACTAATCCACACTTAATTCCTAGATCATTTCTTGACTGAGTCAACTGGTAGCCTGGGCCAGTCCCCCCCCCCCCCGGGGGCCCCCCTGTCAAAATCGCCCTATGCAGATTTGAAACCAAGACCTTTAGCCCAACAAGCAAGTGTCTGTGAACTGTGCTAATGCCAGATAGATATGGCAAGCCAACAAATTGTATTTACCAGTTGGCATTACTGGATAATGTGGTAAATATAACCAGGCTGCCTTTACTTCTCATTTGTTTTTTAACTGTTTCCCTATAGGACTGCAGTCTGTAGGATTAACATCACAGGATAAAAATCTTCTTCATAAAGTCCATGTCGTGTGGCGTTCAAAGTCATGTCTATCTAGAACCTTCTGTCTCGTGTACTTTCTGTCAGCTGTGAAACAGATGATCCTCCATGCCATGATGTTAAACTGCTCAGCATCTTTTATCTTAGTCTCCCTCTGCCTCTTCTCACCTCCAACTTTCCCACTATTATGATGTACTCTAGTTTTCTCCTTGTCATCGTATAACCAGAGAATGCAGATTGTCTCTTTCTGATGTGGACAATCAGTTCTCTTCGTGAGCCAGTTTCTTTCAAGACATCCTCCATTCTCTTTTATCTGTCCAGGGTAGGATGAAAACCAAACAGCTGCAAATCCTGGAAACCTCGTTTGATGGTATAGCCATATAGCATAGTTATACTGGGGCTACATGAAACAACATGTAGTCCAGGGTGAGTGGATTTAGGACATATCCTAAAATATCCACTGTAGGCTTGGTCGACTTTGAAGCCATGGTCAGGTTTCAAAAATCTGCTTTGATGCAGATTCAAACATACGACCCCCATGTCATCAAATACCTTAGTTTTCCCAATGCTAAACTTCTTCTCCAAGCCTCTGAGGTTCACCTCTGCAGATATCACCAACCCGCATCCATCTCTGTGACTGGCTTTCTCCTTATAGGTCTGCCTGTAAATTATCTTTACACCATCATCTTTGATAAGCTAGAGACCTGTTTAAGCTGGAAACTGGTCTAAGCTGAGAGCCTGCATATACTGGTAACCAGACAAGCTGAGAGTTTATATGTACTGGAAACTAGTCAAAGCTGAGAGATTATATGTACTGGTAACTAGTCAAAGCTGAGAGTTTATATGTACTGGTAACTAGTCAAAGCTGAGAGTTTATATGTACTGGAAACTAGTCAAAGCTGAGAGATTATATGTACTGGTAACTAGTCAAAGCTGAGAGATTATATGTACTGGTAACCAGACAAGCTGAGAGTTTATATGTACTGGAAACTAGTCAAAGCTGAGAGATTATATGTACTGGTAACTAGTCAAAGCTGAGAGTTTATATTTACTGGAAACTAGTCAAAGCTGAGAGATTATATGTACTGGAAACTAGTCAAAGCTGAGAGATTATATGTGATGGTAACTAGTCAAAGCTGAGAGATTATATGTACTGGTAACAAGACAAGCTGAGAGTTTATATGTACTGGAAACTAGTCAAAGCTGAGAGATTATTTGTACTGGTAACTAGTCAAAGCTGAGAGATTATATGTACTGGAAACTAGTCAATGCTGAGAGATTATATGTACTGGAAACTAGTCAAAGCTGAGAGTTTATATGTACTGGAAACTAGTCAAAGCTGAGAGATTATATGTACTGGAAACCAGTCAAAGCTGAGAGTTTATATGTACTGGTAACAAGACAAGCTGAGAGTTTATATGTACTGGAAACTAGTCAAAGCTGAGAGTTTATATGTACTGGTAACTAGTCAAAGCTGAGAGATTATATGTACTGGTAACAAGACAAGCTGAGAGTTTATATGTACTGGTAACCAGACAAGCTGAGAGCCTGCATGTACTGGTAACCAGAAAAGCTGAGAGCCTGCATGTACTGGTAACCAGAAAAGCTGAGAGCCTGCATGTACTGGTAACCAGAAAAGCTGAGAGCCTGCATGTAATGGTAACCAGAAAAGCTGAGAGCCTGCATGTACTGGTAACCAGAAAACAAGTATGAGAGCAGCCTGCATGTACTGGTGACCAGACAGAGCCTGCATGTATGAGAAAAGCTGAGAGATATGTACTGGTGACCAGACAGCTGAGAGCATGTACTGGTGAGAGCCTGCATGTACTGGTGACCAGACAAGCTGGGAGCCTGCATGTAATGGTAACCAGACAAGCTGAGAGCAGATATGTACTGGTGACCAGACAAGATGAGAGCATATATGTACTGGTGACCAGACAAGCTGAGAGCATATATGTACTGGTGACCAGACAAGATGAGAGCATATATGTACTGGTGACCAGACAAGCTGAGAGCATATATGTACTGGTGACCAGACAAGATGAGAGCATATATGTACTGGTGACCAGACAAGCTGAGAGCATATATGTACTGGTGACCAGACAAGATGAGAGCATATATGTACTGGTGACCAGACAAGCTGAGAGCATATATGTACTGGTGACCAGACAAGATGAGAGCATATATGTACTGGTGACCAGACAAGCTGAGAGCATATATGTACTGGTGACCAGACAAGATGAGAGCATATATGTACTGGTGACCAGACAAGATGAGAGCATATATGTACTGGTGACCAGACAAGATGAGAGCATATATGTACTGGTGACCAGACAAGCTGAGAGCATATATGTACTGGTGACCAGACAAGATGAGAGCATATATGTACTGGTGACCAGACAAGATGAGAGCATATATGTACTGGTGACCAGACAAGATGAGAGCATATATGTACTGGTGACCAGACAAGATGAGAGCATATATGTACTGGTGACCAGACAAGATGAGAGCATATATGTACTGGTGACCAGACAAGATGAGAGCATATATGTACTGGTGACCAGACAAGATGAGAGCATATATGTACTGGTGACCAGACAAGATGAGAGCATATATGTACTGGTAACCAGACAAGCTGAGAGCATATATGTACTGGTGACCAGACAAGCTGAAAGCCTGGAACTGGAAACCAGTCTAAGGTGAGAACCAGTGTGTACTGGACATTGGTCTTAGCTGGTGACAAAGCTGCCTATACTGAAAAATGACAAACAATCCTAACAGTAACAAACAAATAACAACAACAAAAAAACAAAACAAAACCACAGGAATAACAAATCATATGAACAAACCAATGAACAGACACAATTTAATAGAAAATAGAAATTACTTTTATTTTACAATGGAAAAAACCTCTGGACGGAATGATTCATTTATAGATTACAATAATACAAGCACTAATAAAAATTTATCTGACATACCCAAGCACACCATTACCTATCTCCAGCCACACCTAGACATACCCTAGCACACCATTACCTATCTCCAGCCACACCTAGACATACCTTAGCACACCATTACCTATCTCCAGCCACACCTAGACATACCTTAGCACACCATTACCTATCTCCAGCCACACCTAGACATACCCTAGTACACCATTACCTATCTCCAGACACACCTAGACATACCCTTGCACACCATTACCAATCTCCAGCCAGATCTAGACATACCCTAGCACACCATTACCTATCTCCAGACACACCTAGACATACCCTAGCACACCATTACCAATCTCCAGCCACACCTAGACATACCCTAGCACACCATTACCAATCTCCAGCCACACCTAGACATACCCTAGCACACCATTACCTATCTCCAGCCACACCTAGACATACCCTAGCACACCATTACCAATCTCCAGCCACACCTAGACATACCCTAGCACACCATTACCTATCTCCAGCCAGATCTAGGCATAACCCAGCATGCTGTTACCTCCAGCCTGGTCTGGCTACTGAAACATACCCTATTACCCCAAGAACCAATACAAGGAAAAATGGAAGAGCATACACCCGTGGATCACCCTGATACACTGACAACAGTGGGTAGGCTAGTTCCTGCCAGCAAGTGCCATAGTAACACTCTTCGGAGCCAAAGTCAGTAAAGTAGCGATAGCAGGTATCCGAGAGAATGCTGTCAGGGTTACACCTCGTGTCAAACCTGTAACGGAGTCACAAAACATATTAAACACTGACAGGTCAAAGTTCACAAATATAGCAAATCTCCCCATGGCCCAAGTTGGGAGGGGGGGAAAAAAGTAGACCAACTATAGACTCACGGACTGTAACAGACTCCTACTTCTGTTGACCAACTAGCACTCAGTGTGTATTGTGGTCAACATAATACTGACCACCTTTACCTTTCAGGAATTTTCCTGGTATCCATTTTAAGCTGGGTGACGTGGGAGCCAAAGCAAATTTTTTTTTTTTTTAAATTTTCGACTTGATGTCTTTAAGCCGGCAGTTGAGCGTCCAGCCACTATGTTCTCATTGTACCCTAATGAACATACTGTAAAAGACATCTAACTGAGGTTTGCAGAAATCAGAAGTCTTGGCACTCTGACTTTAAAGGAAACACCCTTAATTAGTCTATTCAAGAAATGCATGTTAGAGGGTAGCAGGTCTATTTTTTTCTCTCTAAATGGGGACCTGAAACCTATCGAGGTGTTTTTGTCTGCTGCCCGTTGTATCACAGCCTTCATCCTCATCAATTGCCTTGCCAACTGGCATGGGCAATCATGCCTCTCCACAATCTGCAATCTTCTGCAGCAGGTATCAATTTGTGTACTTACACCCCTGTATGCCATTACAATAGGTCGTCAAGAACCTTCTCGCGCTGTCTTCCTCTGTGTCTTTCCACAGATCTTTCCAGTCGTCACAACATGTTCCAGTTTTCTTCTTCTCACAACATGACTAAAAAATTATGACTGTCTTTCTTATGACTGTGATAAGTTGTCTTTGGTCCTTGCCTCTTTCAAGACATCTGGGTTGCTAGTTTTGGCTGTCCAAGGAATTCTTCTGTAAATCCACAACTTTGAGACCTCAACAAATTGTCTGGCTTGTTTATTAAATGTCCAGGATTCACAGCCGTATGTTAAAATTAGCTCTATATGACATGCATGAATTCTTTTCCTTACCTCCAATGACATGGATTTATTGCACACAAGAAAGAGCCACAAAAGTTAAAAAAACAATTATCCGTCTCTCTAAGAGAATGAACCTAGTCACTGTCTTGGCAGGCAATCATTTAACAGTAAGTTGCTGCAATTGTATGAACCTGGAAGGACACAAAGAAAACCACGACTTGCCTTCTACGAGAGTCCAATGGTGTGGCTGGTACTAGAGTGAATGTGACAGAACTGGACAGCAGAAACTGCTGGCTGCTGCCGGAAGTCGGCTGGCAGCGTCCACTGTTGGCCCCCATACAGTCCATGGTGAAGTTTGTGATGGTGTAACTGTAGCCACGGCAACAAACAAGTAGAAACAATCAGGGGAAATATTACATTGACATAATAAGCAGAAACAGTAGGGGGGGATAAATGAGTTACATTTCTTAAGTAAGTCCGGGTATAAAATAAAATAAAAACACACAAAAAAACATTATATATAAAAAATGATTTTTTTTTTGCAGCTGAAAATGAACCACACATTTACATTGTTTCTCAACACAGTCACCAGAAGTCTGCCACCAGTATTGAACCATTCATTAATGCCTATCTGCATTTCATCATCAGTTTCAACCTGTTGGGATGCTAGCCACTTTTTTAGGTGCATGAAAGGGTGGTAATCACTTGGCGCCAGATCGGGGCTGTAGGACGGGTGGTCAACAATTTCCCAGTGAAATCTGTGCAACGACTGAACAGTTCCATCTGCGATGTGAGGTTGAGCATTAAAATGCAAAAGCACAATTCTGGAGTACAGCAACCCACATCTTTTGTTTTGCATGGCATATAATTTGTTTATATCCAAGGTTTCTTGCCACAATATTGTAAATCAGTGAATGTGAAACTTCTGAAAATTCAACAGACAAGGCAGAAACTGCGAAAATACGATTTTCCTGAATTTGTTCACTTCTTCGACAAAATCATCTGTCACCACACTCAGACAACCACTACGATCTTCAGAATGGATATTTGTTTGCCTTTCTTTACTCATTCGACACCATTTCCTAACCATAGTCATAACATCTGGCCTATAAACCTCAATCAGTTGCCTGTGAAATTCTGCAGAATTGTAATTTTTTTTTTGCTTTAAAGAAACAACGGATAACAGCACGAACCTGGTTGCTGGCGGGAGTATTAATTTGTGCACTCATTATAAATCACTCACATGCAGCATTAAACAAACTTTCCACAGTGGGAACAAATAACACACAGCTAGCTAATGAGCCACAACAACATACTGCATACGCACATTTACATTTACCATCAGTGTTTGTCACTGTGACCAAAATGGGACTTACTTTAAAAAAAAAATTTTTTTTTAACCCGCCTCATAAAAATGATAATTAAAAAACAGTTAAGTGGAATTATTAAGTAAAAAAGACAATTGAAAAATAAGTGGAGTGGAAATTTTACATAGAAACAGTAAGAAGAAATATTAGGTAGAAATGGTAAGTACAAACAGAAATCCTAGGCAGAAATGGTAAGTAGAAACAGTGTTTGGAAATGATAAAGAAGCACAGTTAAGTGGAGTTATTAAGTAGACACGATAATTAAAACACAGTTAAGTGGAAATATCAAGTAGAAGTGGTAAGCGGAAACAGTAAGTGGAATTGTTAAGCAGAAATGAAAATTTAAAAAGTTAAGTGGAAATAGTAAAAGTAAACGTGATAATTGTGGCTCATAAAATGGGACTAGTTTTCAATCAAGATAAAACAGAATACATGATAATAACAAGACAGGGAAAGGAAATAAACTTCGGCCACATACAAGTCAATAATATGAAAATCAAACAAACTGAAACAAACAAGAACTTGTGTGCAAACCCCAACTGCTCCAACATGCTGAGAGAAGAAATACACTCTAGAATACAATCTGGAAATAAAGTATACTATACCCTTCAACATATGCTAAAGTCAAAGTGTTTTGCAACACCAAGATCCAAATATATAAAACGTTGATAAGACCAGTCGTTTTAAATGGCTCTGAAACTTCGAGCACAACTAAAAGAGATCAAGTCTTATTAGTTTTCGAAAACTGAACATTATGATGAATCTTTGGATCTATCAAAGATGTAAACAACGGGGTATGCAGAGTGAGAAGAAACAACAATAAAATTCACAATCTGTTTAAATCACCATCGATCACTGGCATCATGAGGGCTAATAGGTTGAAATGGCTGGGGCATATTGAGAAAATGTCAGATGACAGAAAGGTAAAAAGTGTATACACAAGGGAGACGATAGTCATAGACCACGAGGCAGACCAAGAAGATGATGGGGAGATAATATCCAGACAAACCTGCAAACACTTGGTGTCACCAACTGGAAAGAGAAGGCCAACCAGAGAGATGAATGGAGGTGGGTGATATCTGCAGCAATGAACCTCAAGAGCTCGGCATGTTGAGGAAGAAGAAGACGTGATAATTAATAAAAGTTAGGCGGACATATCATGTAGAAATGATAAGGGCAAAAAGTAAGTGGAATTTTTATGTAGAAATGATAACTAAAAACAGTTAAGTGGAGCTGTTAAGTAGAGGCGATAATTAATAACAGTTAGGAGTGGAAATATTACAAGTAGATGTGCTAATTAAAAATGGTTGAGTGGAAATATTAAGTAGACATGATATTTAAAAAAGTAAAGTGGAAATATCTGGTAGAAATGTTAAGCAGAAACAGAAAGTGGAAATATTATGTAGAAATTAAAAAAAAGTAAAGTGGAAATATTATGTTGAAAAAAGAAAACAGGTTAAATAAAGCATAAGTGAATAAAGATTAAATTAAGTGACAATAAATGGGGATTAAATTAAAGCTGTGCTGATTGAAATACAGATGGGAATATTCAAAAGCTATAATGAACACATGTGTATTGTGCACACACATCAGCACCAATAAAAATGATATTTGTATTATTATTTTGTCCATGTGGTGAACTCACTGGATATAGGCCCCTAAAACTTCATATCTGGGGTAGCCATTGGCAGCTCCAGTCTGGGCATACAAGATGTGAAGACTTGCAGCAGAGGGAAGCAAGCAGACACCAGTGATTGAATTAGCCCACGATTGCAGCTCCTCGACTGTTTCATTCAGGCTCGTTGTGTTAGATATACTCGTACTGTTTTCTTCTGAACTTGATATGTTCAGAGCTTGCCTTGAAACAGAGAATCTCTCATTTTAGTCACAAACATTTTTTAAATAATCAAGAAACTATCAAACTGCATGAAAATCCCAGGTTTCTTAGCAGACTTTCTTAACTCATTCAATACCCCCCCACTTCCAATGATCTCTGTGACTGACCTCAGTGGCAAGGCGTGATTAATTTTCATGTTTAAGCATTAGCAGGTAACACTTACACTGAAGAGGATATCCTGTGATTTTGTCCATCTTGTCACTATGCTGTTGAGAATATAGTGCGCAGCTAGCATTGTAATACTAGTAACTGGCAGCTTTCACACACTACAGTTTCTGAATAAGTGCCATAAGCATGCAGCAAGGGTTCTTTCCGCTATGTTCAAGATGCAAACCATGGCATATTGGTAATAAATAGTAAACAGTAAAGATAAATATCAAAATACAGAATATATAGAATAGTAAATCTTATCAGAACTATTTTTTTGGCTTACACTATGCTATCAGTGCCAAACGTGGACACTTACATCCTCCAATGAATGTAAAATTGTGACAACAGAGATGAAATGCATTAGAAGAGCTGCAGGAGTTTCAAGGAAAGACAGAATACAAAATCACAAAATCAGACGAATGCTAGAAATAAAGCCAGTCTTACAGGTCATCAAAGAACAACAAATGAAGTGGTTTGGAAACCTAACAAGAATGCCCTGGTACCATCTGCCACAGCGAGCCACACTAAAACATTACAACGGGTGTGGAGCAAGTGGAAGACCTCAGAAAATATGGAGTGATGGCATCAAGAACAGCCTTACAGAAATAAACATCAGTCTTAATAGTGCTCTTGACAGAGCTCATCAACGTACATTACATCTCCCCTTGACACTTCAATTAGGTACAAGGTGGAAGTAAAGAAGAAGAAGAAGAAGAAAATGATAAATAGCAAAATTATTTGTCTTTTGCAATAGAAATTGTAAGCAGAGATTACATGCACGCCTGGCCACTTACCGTTCTCCTCTTACCAGTTGGTGAATCCAGACGTTTGAAGGTCTGCCTGAAAGTTCTCTCTCTACTGTCTTCTTGGTCTGCCTCGTGCATCGTAATAGGTAACATTCAAATAAGGACTTAATAAATAAAAATTAATGTTATTAAGTTACCTCAACACTAAATGTGTGAGTTCTGGGAACCCCAATGTGGGGAAAACAAGAATAGACCTTCCAAAACAAGCATGTCATAGGAGACAACTAATTAAGCGCATTCTTCGAAGTCGGAGTATATCTGCCTTAGAGGCAAGGAACCAAGAGTCTGCATACAAATAAGCCAGATCTGTGAAACGGACATGCATGCAACACTCAGGTTCTGGAACAAGACTAAAGTCCAGAGGTGGATGAACACCCAGAACTTTCTGCCAGAGTTTACAGCCGGTCAATGCCAAGAAGATGAAGACATTACCTCAACACGGGGACCCACATATTCTCATTGCTGATATCATTGTAACCATAACGACCAATAACATCTGCTGCCATAAGAACATCCAAACTGTCGAGGATCTGTTGCCTGTAACATATAGCAAATGTGTGAACTCGTGAACTCCAGTAACAATTAGACAATATTGTCTTTGTTCACTAGCTTCAGCAACAGTTAAACAAAATCACTGCAGTAAATTAACTTCAACAACTTTCTTACATTGTAGCGGTTGATCAAAGAATGAAATGGTTTGGCCAACTAGTGAGAATGCAGCCAGATCAAATCTCATTTAGAATTTTTTTAAAGGAATATTTATTAGGAAGGCAAGGGGAAGACCAAGAAAGAGATGCATAAATAATGAAGCTGAACCTGCAAAAAGATGAACATTTCCATCTGAGAAACACAAGACAAATACAGAAAACTATGACCCTTGGCTACAACCTGGTATCAGTGAGATGACAAAAGAATCTTCAACAACACTCAGACAATATCATGTCTGAGCTAGTCATTAGTTCTTGATCATTCTTCTATTATGTGATTGCTAATTTTTTTACTTCACTTCATCACGTCTGTTTTAGTACTAATTTCACAATTCAGTTCACCGTGTCTGTTTGTTACTCTCATTTTCTTAGTTCAGTTCATCAATTCTGTTTGTTACACTTGTTTACTCAGTTCAGTTCATCAAGTCTGTTTGTTACTCTAGTTTTCTCAGTTCAGTTCATCATCTCTGTCTGTTTGTCAAGTTCTCCTGTCTAGTCTGTTAGTTATTTTTTTCTTGGTTCAGTAAATCATGTCTGCTTATCAGTCATGTTTCCTTGGTTCGGTTCATGATGTCTATTTGTTAGATACAATTTAATGCCTTAGCCCACCATGTCTGTTTTTAAGTAACAATCCCATGATTCAATTCATGATGTCTGTTTGTTAATAACAATCCCATGGATCATTTTATGATTTCTGTGTGTTAGTCACATTTTCATGGTTTAGTTCATGATGTACGTTTGTTAGTCATGTTTTCACGGCTCAGTTCACATGTCTGTCTCTTCGTAATAATCACATGGTTCAGTTAATCATTTCTGTCTGTAAGTCATGCTTTCTTAGTTCATCATGTCTGTTGTTGATCCCAGTCTCTTACCTCAGATCATCACAACTGTTGTTCAGGTCATTAAATGACAAATTTAACACACAGCCTGACAAGACATCATCACCAAATGTGACAGGCTGACGTGTGGCATCTCGACATAAGCCACTGAGACCTGCAAGAATGACAAGAGTTGATAAGTCTGCTACTGTTGCAACATTTAAAAAAATATGTGTTTACAGTGCTTCATCATCATCAAGTGCCTAACCAACAGGTGTAGGAAATAATATCTCTCCACAACCTGCGAACCTCAACTGAAGGTATGAGTTCATATGCTGACACTCCTCCATGCCCCTCTCATAATTTGAACAAAATATGATGACAGTCTCATCCTGATATTTTTTATAAGTTGTCTTCGAGCCCTAATCTCTTTCAAAGCATCAGTGCTCTTTTTTGGCTGTCCAAGGAATTCTTCTGTAAAACCACATCTCCTAGTTCTCTATACATTGTTTGGCTTGTTTATGAATTGTCCAGGATTCACAACCACATGTTAAAACTGGCTCTATATAGTATGCAAGAATTTTTTTTAACCTCCAGTGTCATAGACGTATTGCATGAAATGTTCTTGTTATATAGTGCACTTTTAGCCTGTCCTATTCTGCTCGTTATCTCTGTGATACATCTTCCGTTTGATGTTATCCGTGTGCCTAGATACTTAAATTTCTACACTTGTCTTAAAATAATGCCTATGACTTTAATTAAACATTTAGGCACTATTCTTTTCTTTAATATTACCATTGCTTCTGTCTCCTCGTTATTCAGGCTGAGGCCCATTCTATCACTTTCCACCACTACTGTATCTATCAATCTCTGAAGGCCCATTCTATCACTTTCCACCACTACTGTATCTATCAATCTCTGTAGGCCCATTCTATCACTTTCCACCACTACTGTATCTATCAATCATTGTAGGCCCATTCTATCACTTTCCACCACTACTGTATCTATCAATCTCTGAAGGCCCATTCTATCACTTTCTACCACTATTGTATCTATCAATCTCTGTAGGCCCATTCTATCACTTTCTACCACTATTGTATCTATCAATCTCTGAAGGCCCATTCTATCACTTTCTACCACTATTGTATCTATCAATCTCTGTAGGCCCATTCTATCACTTTCTACCACTACTGTTTCTATTAATCTCTGTAGGCCCATTCTATCACTTTCTACCCCTATTGTATCTATTAATCTCTGTAGGTCCATTCTATCACTTTCTACCACTATTGTATCTATCAATCTCTGTAGGCTCATTATATCACTCTCTACCACTACTGTTTCTATTAATCTCTGTAGGCTCGTTCTATCACTTTCTACCACTATTGTATCTATCAATCTCTGTAGGCTCATTCTATCACTTTCTACCACTATTGTATCTATCAATCTCTGTAGGCTCATTCTATCACTTTCTACCCCTATTGTATCTATCAATCTCTGTAGGCTCATTCTATCACTTTCTACCACTATTGTATCTATCAATCTCTCTAGGCCCATTCTATCACTTTCTACCACTACTGTTTCTACTAATCTCTGTAGGCCCATTCTATCACTTTCTACCACTACTGTTTCTATTAATCTCTGTAGGCCCATTCTATCACTTTCTACCACTATTGTATCTATCAATCTCTGTAGGCCCATTCTATCACTTTCTACCACTACTGTACCTATCAATCTCTGTAGGCTCATTCTATCACTTTCTACCCCTATTGTATCTATCAATCTCTCTAGGCTCATTCTTTCACTTTCTACCACTATTGTATCTATCAATCTCTCTAGGCCCATTCTATCACTTTCTACCACTACTGTTTCTATTAATCTCTGTAGGCCCATTCTATCACTTTCTACCACTATTGTATCTATCAATCTCTGTAGGCCCATTCTATCACTTTCTACCACTACTGTATCTATTAATCTCTGTAGGCCCGTTCTATCACTTTCTACCACTACTGTATCTATCAATCTCTGAAGGCTCATTCTATCACTTTCTACCACTACTGTTTCTATTAATCTCTGTAGGCCCATTCTATCACTTTCTACCACTATTGTATCTATCAATCTCTGTAGGCCCATTCTATCACTTTCTACCACTACTGTTTCTATTAATCTCTGTAGGCCCATTCTATCACTTTCTACCACTATTGTATCTATTAATCTCTGTAGGCCCATTCTATCACTTTCTACCACTACTGTTTCTATTAATCTCTGTAGGCCCATTCTATCACTTTCTACCACTATTGTATCTATCAATCTCTGTAGGTTCATTATATCACTTTCTACCACTACTGTACCTATTAATCTCTGTAGGCCCGTTCTATCACTTTCTACCACTACTGTATCTATTAATCTCTGAAGGCTCATTCTATCACTTTCTACCACTACTGTATCTATCTATTTCTGTAGTCCTTTCTGACTTGTCCCTTTCAAAATGGTATGTCAGCATGTTAGTTTCAACATACAACAGTGTTAATATAAAACTCACAACACATTTTTAACTTTCTTTAGTTCTCTCCCGACTTTCCCTCCTCCTCCATTGTTAGAAGCGTGTCAGGAAGGCCTCATAGAAATAAAACACAGCTCTATCTTGAGATTCTGACTGCTTCAAAATGAGTTTCTTTCATCATGAACAACAGCCAACAACAACAAAGAGTCAAGGCTAGAGAGTATGAACACCAACAACCATAGAAATGTTGTGTCTGGCCAAGAAAATCTTAATCAAAAGTAAAGAATAGAGGTGTGCATTGTCATGATGGAACTGCCAAGTTCCTGTTGCCCACAGATCCAGCTGTGTGTATCACAAATCCCCAGTATGGTGAAGGATGACCTTCAAGTATTGTAACCATACCTGCCCTTTTCACTGGGACAGTCCGGTTTTTAGTTATGTCCTGGCCGTTCTGTCGGTATGCCACATAAAGACAATTGTCCTATTTTTTTTAAAAATATAAGAATAAGAAGGAGACAAACACTGTACTTTGGCCATGTAATGAGAAGAAAAGAATTGAAAAATATTGTGACAACTGGAAAGATCAGTGGAAAGAGGGGTAGAGGCAGACCAAGAGAGACGATGCTTGATGGGCTGAAATGATGGCATGGAGAAATTTCATCAAGAGAACTGTTCCATGGCAACCAGGGATAGTGATCTGTGGAGATGCATCAGCTGCCAGGGCACAGGATGATGATGATGATAGGAATAAGTTTAAGAATACCACATACAGCTATATACACCAGGTCTCTAGACAGACAGTAAACATAACCATACCTGGTATACAGACAGACAAGAAACATAAAAACACCAGGTCTCTAGACAGACAGTAAACATAATCACACCCCACCTGGTATACAGACAGACAAGAAACATAAAAACACCAGGTCTCTAGACAGACAGTAAACATAACCATACCTGGTATACAGACAGACAAGAAACATAAACACACCAGGTCTCTAGACAGACAGTAAACATAACCATACCTGGTATACAGACAGACAAGAAACATAAAAACACCAGGTCTCTAGACAGGCAGTAAACATAACCATTACTGGTATACAGACAGACAAGAAACATAAACACACCAGGTCTCTAGACAGACAGTAAATATAACCACAACTGGTATACAGACAAGAAACATAAACACACCAGGTCTCTAGACAGACAGTAAACATAACCACACCTGGTATACAGACAGACAAGAAACATAAAAACACCAGGTCTCTAGACAGACAGTAAACATAACCATTACTGGTATACAGACAGACAAGAAACATAAACACACCAGGTCTCTAGACAGACAGTAAACATAACCATTACTGGTATACAGACAAGAAACATAAACACACCAGGTCTCTAGACAGACAGTAAACATAACCATTACTGGTATACATACAGACAGACAAGAAACATAAACACACCAGGTCTCTAGACAGACAGTAAACATAACCATTACTGGTATACAGACAAGAAACATAAAAACACCAGGTCTCTAGACAGACAGTAAACATAACCATTACTGGTATACAGACAGACAAGAAACATAAAAACACCAGGTCTCTAGACAGACAGTAAACATAATCATTACTGGTATACAGACAAGAAACATAAAAACACCAGGTCTCTAGACAGACAGTAAACATAACCATTACTGGTATACAGACAGACAAGAAACATAAAAACACCAGGTCTCTAGACAGACAGTAAACATAACCATACCTGGTATACAGATGCTCAATAAACAATGTCTCACCTGGTCTCCAGACTGCCATCTGTTTCTCCAAGGCAACATCCACCTGATCAAACTGCCCAGTGCTTGTATTGCGCCGCATCTGACCAGACAACAAGGGCTTCCCCATCATGTAGCCTAAGAATGTTTTCATTAAACCGACAAGTTCATTAAACTGACAAGTTCTTTAAACTGACAAGTTCATTAAACTGACAAGTTCATTAAACTGACAAGTTCATTAAACTGACAAGTTCATTAAACTGACAAGTTGTTCCTTGGGACTGAAAGAGTTAAAAGAGCAGATAGAATGTTGTGTTGGTGTTTACAGATAAGCTGTGATATCTATGCCTTTTGGTTCAACATGTCTGTTTCAGCAAATCATTAATTAGTTGCCTTTTACCAAATGTTTAAGACCAGTGTGACTATTCTTTTCTCCTTCATAAAAAAGTTTGTTTGTTCGTTTGTTCCTCCTATAGTTGGGCCCCGGAAACCACATGGGGAAACAAACATCATACTGATAATACTGAGAGTTCCAATGGCAAACATGATAACCTTAAGAGATGGATAAAGAGAAGTCTGTCAGAGTGAAAGACAAAGAGTTGCAGATCCAATGTAGTCAACCTCGTGGATGAGAGGGAACTTGATTCTTGATGATTCTAGATTGAAAACAATTCTAGATTAAAAACAAATTTCCTGTGTGAGTTCCGGGGTCCATTGTGGGCAAAACAAAAAGGCAAAGAACCAACAATCTGCACACAATTAAGTCAGATCTCTTAAACGGATATGCACGCAACACTCAGATTCTGGAAAAAGACTAACTTCCAGAGGTGGACAAACAACCAGAACTTTCCGCTGCAGTTTTCAGCCAGTAAGAGCAAAGAAGAATAAAAACAATTCAAGACCAAAAACATGCTCTTTAACTTATGACCTATGCAATTTAAGACCACCTGCACTTACAACAACAAAAAATACCCCCAAAAATAGTAAATAACAAGATATACATGGGAAGGGCCCTAAAGTTCCATGAACTGATCCAACAGAGTACATATTATTATCTTTCACACTATGTACTATATACAGTATCTATACATCTGGGTTAGTTGCGTATCCTTTACAGGAAGTTGCAGAACCAACCCTAGCAGCCCCTGGCTGTTGTGAGGTTTCTCTAGGCAAATTTACGTCCAGTAGTTTGCCATTGCTTTCTGGACGATCGGCCCCCTGATACCACTATCGAAACCAACACAAGGCACATACCCCGCAGCTGGGATCGAACCTGGCACCAAGGCATTACGAAGCGTTCGCATCAACTAAGCCACAGAGCCGACAACTATACATCTATAGATTGAATTTTGGTGTTTTATTACCAATTTTAATAAGCAATTTAAATGGAAATAGTCTTCAAAAACATAAACTGGACTTACAGCCTGTTATTCTGAACGGAACTCAGTCGTAAGTCTAGGAAACCTTATAATGAGATGCTAACCCAAAAAATAGGGCACTGAAACAGAACCCTACCCACCTGCAGAACCTGACCTAGTGTAAGCCTGAGAGGTGCCAGCAAAGTTGTCAGACAGCGGTACTGTGGTGTTGGGTTTGTTGAGCCACTTGACAGAAAACTGCTGCACCAGTTCTAGCCCAGTCTTGTTGACCACAGTGGTCAGGTCTGCCAGGATCACCACCGCTGACAGTTTAGTGATCTCACTTCCCTTCCACTCAAAGTTATACCTGGATGGAGAAATATACCAAACTCTCTACAGTCTGAGCTCATCAGAACTAGTGCACCCATAGAAAATTAACAGTCGATGACACATAGATATCATTATCAAGTGCCTTGCCGACTGGCATAGGCAATCAGGCCTCTTCCCAATCTGCGATACACAACTGCATGTATCAGTTTGTGAGGTGGCACCTATCCATGCCATGACAAAAAGGCTGTCAAGAATCTTCACGTGCTGTCTTCCTCTGTCTTTCTTTCCCCAGACCTTTCCAGTGGTCACATGTACCAGTTTCCCTCTTCTCATAGCATGACCAAAATACGTTGATTGTCTCTTTCAGGTGCATAGATATGTGGTCATAAAATAGAAACAGTTAGTAGTGCATAGAGTGGTCGTAGAAGAGTTACAGTCAATGGTGTTTTGAAAGAGAGGTCACAGAAGAGTTACAGTCAATGGCGCATAGACATAGTGATCATAGAAGAGTTACAGTCAATGGTGCATAGAGAGGTCATAGAAGAGTTACAGTCAATGGTGCATAGAGAGGTCATAGAAGAGTTACAGTCAATGGTGCATAGAGAGGTTATAGTAAATAGTGCACAGATAGAGAGGTTATAGAAGATTAACAGTAAATGGTGCAAAGTGTGGTCATAAATTCCAAAGCCTGAAAAATCGAGTTCTTTTAAAAAATAATTTGAGTTATTTGGGTGACATAAAAAAAAATCCCTACTTCTTCTTCTTCTTCAGCATTCCGAGCCCTTGAGGTTCATTGCTGCAGATATCACCCGCCTCCATTCATCTCTCTGGTTAGACTTCTTTTTCAAGTTGGTGACACCAAGTGTTTGCAGGTCTGTCTGGACATTATCTCTCCATCATCTTCTTGGTCTGCCCCGTGGTCTACGACCATTCATCTCCCTGATGTATACAGTTTTTACTTCTGTCATCTGACAATTTGTTAATATGCCCCAACCATTTCAGTCTTTTAGCTCTCTTGATGCTAGTGATCAATGGTGATTTAAACAGATTATGAATTTCGTTGTTGCTTCTCACCCTTCATTCCCCGCTGTTTGCATCTTTGATGGGTCCAAAGAATCGTCGCAAGACACTTGTTTTAGAAAACCTGTAATAAGGCTTCATCCCTCTTAGTTGTGCTCCAAGTTTCACAGCCATATAACACGACTGGTCTTATCAACGTTTTATATATTTTGATCTTGGTGTTGCGAGACAGACAATAAGAAATTATAAAAAAAATTTTAAATCCTTACAGGGACCAAATATTTCGTTAATGTTAACTGTAATGAGTGGGAAATCATATGAGTCATAAGGGGTTCCCCAGTGTGATGGGTTAAATGTCAAGAGCCAGTTAAGAATGAATCAGTGCGGGAAGCGTGTACAAAGTAAGCATGTGATTTCTCATGGACCAGTGAGTGACTGGAAGCAGAAACTTGTGAACGGGAAGAAAGGATTGAAAACAAGAAAGTAGGAATGATCAGTTGGTGTTGTGCGCGCGCGCGCGTGCACGCGCAAAAAGTTCAGATAACTCTTCTGTATCTAAGACATAACATTGTGGTTACCCTCCCTGACAACTGCAGTACCTGACATCCACTACAACATTTGCACAGCTGCCATCCAGAACTGGAGGGGTAGTAAATGAGTCATCCCAGGAACAAGGACCAGGAAGGCTTGGGCTAGCTTCCATGCTGCGATTTCTGTTGTAATCTACACAGTTCTGGTCCAATCAAGAAATAAACAACATAAGCTTTGCGGTAACTGAAATATAAATTCTGTCAATTCAATAATGAGACAGATTTTATTATGGAAAACAAGCCATCCACAAAGTAAAACATGGCATCCAAACAGACACCATTCGTCTATTATCTGGCAAACCTGTAACTCTGCCTGGTCAGCTGGCGACAAGTAACCTGCCATTTTGTTTAGCTAGTAAAAGTTGCATTGCTACGTAGGCAGCATAGAGCCAAGGGTAAACATTAATTCTGTTTCCAAATCAGACAAGGGCTCTTGAAACAGTTATTTAAATGTCAGAGTGTGTAAAATACTACAGTGACAGTCACAACAAAACAATCCATGGCATAACCCAAATCCTCAGTGAAACAAATCTTTAATACTAACACGAGCCCAGGCCAACCCAGGGTAAAATGGGTACTTGAAAGTAAAGGTGGAAGGCATTATGCTGACCACATCCACCTCTGGGTACTACTTGGTCAATAAAAATATAAGTCATGCCCCAAATGCCCAAATTCTTACCTATACAGGACTACAGGTTACACAGGGCTGGTGTGGCCGCTACAAGCGCCCTAATTATAACTCCCTTGGAGGCCGAACCAAGATATCTATCTGGGCTTGCCCTGTTGGTCTGCCACCAGCATTAACTCTTTGACTCCCAAGGGGTTTAGCATCAGAGGCCCAAGGAGTTTTGCATCAGAGGCCCAAGGGGTATTTAAGAGAGATGCAAAATGTAAAATCAGCGCATCTTGCATTCATTAGGCTTCTAAGCAGAAACCAGTGAATGTATGATGTGTTCCTTGGGACTGAAAGAATTACTGTTTTTTTTTTTTTTTTCTTTCATGGTGTTACACCTTCAGGTCCTGTTGGTCTGCCACCAATCTCGTGGTGTCATGCCTTCAGGTCCTGTTGGTCTGCCACCAATCTCGTGGTGTCATGCCTTCAGATCCTGTTGGTCTGCCACCAATCTCGTGGTGTCATGCCTTCAGATCCTGTTGGTCTGCCACCAGTCTCACGGTGGCAAGACTTCAGGTCCTGTTGGTCTGCCACCAGTCTCACGGTGGCAAGACTTCAGGTCCTGTTGGTCTGCCACCAGTCTCACAGTGTCAAGCCTTCAGGTTCTGTTGGTCTGCCACCAGTCTCATGGTGTCAAACATTCAGGTCCTGTTGGTCTGCCACCAGTCTCATGGTGTCAAGCCTTCAGGTCCTGTTGGTCTGCCACCAGTCTCATGGTGTTAAGCATTCAGGTCCTGTTGGTCTGCCACCAGTCTCATGGTGTCAAGCCTTCAGGTCCTGTTGGTCTGCCACCAGTCTCATGGTGTTAAGCATTAAGGTTCTGTTGGTCTGCCACCAGTCTCATGGTGTTAAACCTTCAGGTCCTGTTGGTCTGCCACCAGTCTCATGGTATTAAACCTTCAGGTCCTGTTGGTCTGCCACCAGTCTCATGGTGTCAAACATTCAGGTCCTGTTGGTCTGCCACCAGTCTCATGGTGTCAAGCATTCAGGTCCTGTTGGTCTGCCACCAGTTTCATGGTGTTAAACCTTCAGGTCCTGTTGGTCTGCCACCAGTCTCAGTTAAACCTTCAGGCCCTGTTGGTCTGCCACCAGTCTCATGGTGTTAAATCTTCAGGTCCTGTTGGTCTGCCACCAGTCTCATGGTGTCAAGATTCCAGGTCCTGTTGGTCTGCCACCAGTCTCACAGTGTCAAGCATTCAGGTCATGTTGGTCTGCCACCAGTCTTGTGTGATAAGCCTTCAGGTCCTGTTGGTCTGCCACCAGTCTTGTGGTGTTGAACCTTCAGATCCTGTTGGTCTGCCACCAGTCTCATGGTGTTAAGCCTTCAAGTCCTGTTGGTCTGCCACCAGTCTTGTGGTGTCAAACCTTCAGATCCTGTTGGTCTGCCACCAGTCTTGTGGTGTCAAACCTTCAGATCCTGTTGGTCTGCCACCAGTCTTGTGGTGTTAAACCTTCAGGTCCTGTTGGTCTTCCACCAGTCTCATGGTGGTAAACTTTCAGGTTCTGTTGGTCTGCCACCAATCTCGTGGTGTCATGCCTTCAGATCCTGTTGGTCTGCCACCAGTCTCATGGTGGTAAACCTTCAGGTTCTGTTGGTCTGCCACCAATCTCGTGGTGTCATGCCTTCAGATCCTGTTGGTCTGCCACCAGTCTCATGGTGGTAAACCTTCAGGTCCTGTTGGTCTGCCACCAGTCTCATGGTGTTAAACCTTCAGGTCCTGTTGGTCTGCCACCAGTCTATGGTGGTAAACCTTTAGGTCCTGTTGGTCTGCCACCAGTCTCATGGCGTTAAACCTTCAAGTCCTGCTGGTCTGCCACCAGTCTCACAGTGTTAAGTCTGCAGGTCCTGTTGGTCTGCCATCCAGACTGAGATGTTATAATCTCAGGGTGATGTCAAACTTGTCAGGCAGCAGTCAGGAGTGGATAAATGATCCACACATCCCAATGCACCACTGGCGTGAAAAAGAATCCTTTAATTACTTTTTGAAAAAAGTTCAATAATCAACATTATAGCACCCAGGACATTCCCATAAGTGCTTCATCCACATCTTCAGCAGTATGCGGAGAGCTTCAACTCTGATGGTACTAGTGACAGTCTGTATATTCATCTCGCCTTTCCTTCTGGTAATCTGGTAATCCTAGTTTCAGCTTCATAGCAAACGGGTCACCCCACAGATGCTCCGATCCTGTGCCAACGAAAAACAAATGCAGCTCACAGTGTCACGCCATGCACTCAACTCAGAAGCTTTGCGACGAAGCCACAGACGCCGACATTTAAGTCTACCTGTGCTTAAATTATATTCTACTGGTAAGATGACTCTGATGACTTCAGTGATCATCAAATATAACTTCTTCTTTGCTTTCACCGGCTGTAAATTCTGGTGGAAAGTTCTGTTTATTTATTCACTTCCGGACTTCAGATTTGTTCCAGAACTTCAGTTTTGCATGCAGATCTGATTTACAGATCTGGCTTATTGGTCTCCAGACTGATGGTTCCTCGCCTCTCAGGTAGATGTACTCACTTCAAGGGAAACAACACTAAGTAAGTCAACTCTGAGGAGATGCTTGTTAGAGTCAGTGGGTCTATTAACCCTCCCCCTCCTTACAAAGGGGCCCTGGAACCCCTACAGAGAACCATATCTAACAAACAATAAAAATCCCAGGAAACCTTCAGACAAAATATTTACAAACACAAATCATACTGGATATAACCCGCCCTGCATGTTTACATATGGACAGAGTTCGAGTCCACTTGCACAGTAGTAGTATACATCTGTGGGTGCCACCTGATTTCCTGTCGCACTCCTGGCAACCTGTAAGAAATGTACACAAGACCCGTGTGAAATGAACAGGAGAAGACAACTTAAAAATATGACACCTGGGGTTAAATATCAACTTCTCTTTATGTGTATACAAGTTCCCTGACTGGCTGGTTAAAATCGTTTCCACTGCCAGGTGAAAATTTTAACGTGTGGGTTCCGAGAGACCCTGTTTGGGGGGGGGGGGGGGGGGGGGGTTGAGGAATAGACTCATTGGCCCCTAACAAGCATATGACAAATGGTGATTAATAATAGGTGTTTCCTTTGAAGTCAGAGTGCATCTGCATGAGAGGCAAGGTGCCAACAGTCTGCATCTATAAAACGAATGTGCACACAAAACTCAAGTTCTGTAACAAGTCTAGAAGTGGGTCAATAACCAGAACTTTCTGTAGGAGTTTACAGCCGGGGAACACCAAGGAGAAGAAGGAGAAGTACAGAGTTTACACTGTTTAACCATAAAGAACGTGGCGAGGGCCTGAAGACAACTTTTCACACATGCCAGACTGGTAGATGCCAAACTTTACGGGTGGCTAAGTGAATTACAAAAGACAGTGACGTTCATACTAGAGACAGCACTGCAGATACAGATAATTTTTTTTCAAGTGAATGAAAGAAGAAGAAAAAACAAATGTCCGCAGGCGACATCATTTTTTGGCCAAGTTATGAGAAGAGGAAAAAATGACACAAGGGAGAGATTTATGGAAAGAGAGACAGAGAAGACGACACTAGAAGATTCTTGGCATGGAGGGGTGTCAGTACAATAAATGACACAAGAGAGATATTTGTGGAAAGAGAGATCCAATGCTTCTTAACAAGCATGTCATAAAAGGGTGACTAATTAAGGATTTGCCAAAATCAGATATGTTGGATCAAAAGGTGCAGATATTGCAGCTCAGCTGTAAATCTTAACACAGCATGCCATCAACCCTTTTGAGGGCAAAGACAGAAGAGGAAGAGGAACATGCGGAAAAAAAAGGAAGAAGAAGAAGAGGAAAAAGAGGAAGAGGAAGAAGAGGAGGAGGAAGAAGCAGAAGAAGAGCAGGAAGAAGCAGAAGGAGATGAGGAAGAAGAAGAATGTGACACAGTAGCCGGCCGGGCTAACTGTTTATTTAGGCCCTACTCTCAATTTTCTATCTCTAACTGCATTAACATGCAAATGTGCATGTTTTATTTCCTATGCTTCCACTCATTCACTTCTGAGAGGGCTCAAAATCTGACCCACTAAATGTTCTCAGCTTCCTTAATGTTTATTCAAACACACTAAAATAAACATCTATAACTGAATATGAACCTAACTTTTCACTGGGTAAAAGCATAAGGTAACCCCAATCAGCACGAAGAGACATCTTATACAAAGCATATTCATTCCCACCCTATGCTACCAGTGCTAGACATGGTCACTCACAACAAAACATAAAAGAAAATTAGTTACCATGGAAATGAGGTTTCTGAGAAAGGCTGTAGGAGTGACCAGAAGAGATAAAATCAGGAATAAGATTGTACAAGATAAAGTCGGCACAGAACCAATTATAAATTATATAGAAAGACAGCAAATCAAATGGTTTGCCCACTTGGAGAGAATGCCTTCTGATGCTATACCATTCAAGGCACATACTAAAAGAGAAGAGGGAAGTAGAGCAAGAAGTAGACCAAGAACAAGATGAAAGGATAACATCAGAGAAACTCTACAGCACCACCATGTGTCTTTGGTCGAAGCCGCCAGAAGAGCACGAAGCAAGACACCCGAAGCGGTAAAAGAGGACGTAAAGAAGAAGAAGAAAGGTGAATGCTGTACCTCTCAGCCACACTTTATCATCTTATGTCTACAAATGTTATGCAGGTCACACTGCTTTACCTTATACGATTGAGAACAGCCTGAAACAGCCGAAGAGGCCAGATATACTCCAGCACTCAGGATACTCAGAGGTGAGCAGAGCTGCTGGGTGAGTGCAGTTGTACATGAAGAAGCCTGATCCACCAGGTAGCGAACAGGTGTCAGCGGGTTGCAGGAAGCTCCTGGGCCAGGCTGAGGCAAGGTGAGAGTGCCTGTCGGTAAAATGGTTACAATGTCTTCTCGAATGGTCCTCACAACAGCCCCATATGTATAGCTGGGTTGGGCAGGATCTGAAAAACGCCTCTCCGTTTCACTGTAAGAATACAAATATACTGAGTGGCAATATAAAATAAACTAGAGACAGTATAAAATAAACTAGACAGTATAAAATAAACTAGAGACAGTATAAAATAAACTAGAGACAGTATAAAATAAACTAGAGACAATATAAAATAAACTATCTTTACTACCTGAATTTACAACTTTTAAGGGCAGAGTCATGAAACTCTGTGAAAAAGATTTTTTTTTTTAATCACAGCTTTTGAACTGAAATGCTAAAGAAAAATTCTTAGAATACCATGAACCAAGAAGAAGAAAAACACATCCTATGTGATTTGAACATCGAGGAAAATTGGCTTATAAACAGTATCCTCTCCTAAAAGCGATGTATTCTGTCAATATTAAATTTCACAGTGGACAGTAGAGAATAGTTTCCAGAAAAGGAGACAGAGGTCGACCTCTGAAAAGGTAGAAACAAGATATTGAAGATGAAGTGGCTATAAAAGCACAACGGGTTGGACAATTTGCCAGAAAAAAGAGAGACTTTCGGGCACGAAAGCAACATTCTGTAAATGACCAGCAGACTGTTGATGAAAAGGCAGGAAAATTTTGAGTGTGAGGATTTAGGAATGTCCTGTTAGTGCAAAAACCATGAATTAACAAGGTTCCAAATTTTTATTTTGAAAAACTAATTACCATCACTTTGCCGAGGATTAAGGTTAGTTGTGTATCCTTTACAGGACGTTGCAGAGCCAACCCGAACAGCCCCGGGCTGTTGTGTGGTTTTTCTAGGCAAATTTACGTCCAGTAGTTTGTGCCGAGGATTACCTGCGTCAAATACTCTAACAAACAGCCTCATAAACAAGCAAATACTTTAACATAAAATCTTGTAAACAAGCAAATACTTTAACATACAATCTCATAAACAAGCAAATACTCCAACATAAAGTCTCAAAAACAAGCATATATTCTAATTTAAAATCACATAACCAAACAAGTACTCCAGCAGGAAATCTCATAACTAAATTTGTATTTCTGCATTATGTCATGTAACCAAGCAAGTACTTAAGCAGGAAATCTCATAACCAAACAAGTACTCTCGCATCATGTCGTGTAACCAAGCAAGTACTTAAGCAGGAAATCTCATAACCAAGCAAGTACTTAAGCAGGAAATCTCATAACCAAACAAGTACTTAAGCAGGAAATCTCATAACCAAACAAGTACTTAAGCAGGAAATCTCATAACCAAACAAGTACTCTCGCATCATGTCGTGTAACCAAGCAAGTACTTAAGCAGGAAATCTCATAGCCAAACAAGTACTTAAGCAGGAAATCTCATAACCAAGCAAGTACTTAAGCAGGAAATCTCATAACCAAGCAAGTACTTAAGCAGGAAATCTCATAACCAAACAAGTACTTAAGCAAGAAATCTCATAACCAAGCAAGTACTTAAGCAGGAAATCTCATAACCAAGCAAGTACTTAAGCAGGAAATCTCATAACCAAGCAAGTACTTAAGCAGGAAATCTCATAACCAAACAAGTACTCTCGCATCATGTTGTGTAACCAAGCAAGTACTTAAGCAGGAAATCTCATAGCCAAACAAGTACTTCTGCATCATCTCATGTAACCAAACAAGTACTCCGGCCTGAAATCTCATAGCCAAACAAGTACTCTATCATCATGTCGTGTAACCAAGCAAGTACTTTAGCAGGAAATCTCATAGCCAAACAAGTAAAACATCAAGCAATGACAACTATGTGCAAACCTGCAAGCCATCACTAACCTGAAAGAAAACCTGCCCCGGAAGGTGCGAGCCACTTGAGCATTGATGTCCTCCAAGGTCTGCAGTTTCCTGGCATTCTTGTAAAACAGTCCCAGGAACCAGTTGTTCTCCCAGTAAACACAGGTCAGTGTCTGCCAGTCTGGCTGGTCAAATGCCACTGACGAACATCTGTAGTCTTCTGGTTCTGTTTCTTGGCCACCTGGCAGTCCAGGGACACAACCAGAAAATCTGGCACGTTCATTTTTGGAACACTCCTGGAGACAAGATACGTACATTCCTGAAGTCACTTGTATGTGCTTATTTATTATACTATTGATATATTATATTTTATTATTATTTTTTACATAGTATCACATTATTCTTGGCCGCGATCGTGGCTTATGTGTTGCTAGTTCCACTGATTTTTATCATGGTATGGGGCGTCGCAGGTCGACCCAGCCTAAAATGGGTACCAGGATGTATGTCCTGGGGAAGTAAAAACGGCAGGCATAATGCTGACCACATTACCCACCTAGTGCCGACTGGTGTGTAAAAATAGGGCTGCTCTTGCCGTATGCCTGATGCACCTAAAGGCGTGAGAAGAGATCTTTACTTACTTTATCATATTATTCTTGACGGCCTTTTGCCATTGCAGGAAGGGGAGCCAGCACATGAACTGACCCATGCTTTTGAAAATTGCAGATTGTGGAGAGGCAAGATCGCCCATGCCAGTCAGCAAGGCACTTGATGATGATGATTTATTATATTATTATGTATATGCTTATTACATCCTCTGCCGCAACCCCATGCTACTGCCCAATCTGACCTCTCGGTGTCACAACCTGGTCCAATATCCATATCCTGCAAATGTTTTCACATATTTCTTTTAATTAGCGCTGGCTTCATCGGACAGATCTGAGTACTGGTGGAACAGCCAGGGGACAGTAAGAGACTCAGCAGCGGTGGGTCAAAGATGAAGTATAAAGACGAAGAATAAAATATTCTTTCACAATCTCAGGCACAGCTGGGCAATTAAATTTAGTTAACAAACAAATAACAGTTGGGACACTCACAGAATCGCAGCAGCAGTTGATGTCACAACCATTCTGTGTCAGATCACAAGCACAGGGTGCTACTTCGACAAAACCTGGGTTCTGGAGAGTTCTTTCAGCTTTGGGATTAGTGAGAGCTGCAGTAGAGAAACATCATGTGGTTGTTGTGTCGCAGATGTCAGTGTCATTCATTCTTGTTCACGGATATTATATTTCATGATGTACAGATACCGTTACGAAAAGAAATCAAATCAAATCAAAGCATATCTAGTCAGCTTCCCGTTATTCCAATTACAACTGACAGGGGAACGGTGCGGCTAGAAAGCCTTCATAAGTAAATCATATGAATAGACAATTTTGCAATTAAAAACAAGAAGAGAGTCACTGTGGCGCAATAGCTAGACGCTCGTGTGCGGATCGGAAGATCGTGGGTTAGCTCCCTGGCAGAGCCGGACATTTTTCAAAAATGACCTCGACTCCCAGTTCGACTAAGCCTTGAATATGTACCGGGTGCAGTCCTGGGAAGTAAAGGTGGCCGGCATGATGCTAACCACATCACCCATCTTGTGTCAATTGGTCTATAAAAATATAGGTCTAGCTCTATATACCTACAGGTGTGGAAAAGAGACCTTTACTCACTTTTACAAACAAGAATACAGAAAATCACTTAAATGAGGCATCTACAAGAAAAATACACATGTTTGGCCAGTTGGAGCTCTGAGGCATGGGTGAATACAGGAAATGAATTCAAGCCAGATAAAAAAAGTGTGGCTAGTAAGAGCTTTAATTACCAAAACAATATCAGATAAAGATGGATTGGATGGTAAGTTCCTTAAGTAAGTTGAAGCCCATTAGATAGATATAGTTATGTACATTCATATGAATGTACACAATACAAAATTAATCTCTCTTTCTCTCTCTCAGTAAACACATATGCACACACATACACACACACTGACACAATCATAGATACACTACAGACAATTTCAAACACTATCTCTCACATACACTGACACAAACATGGATACGCAACACACACAGTTACATACCCACAAGAAAACACACAGACAAAAAGACCAAAAAAAATTCAAAGTGATGCAGACACATCCCACATATACTATCATTACACAAACATGCATACATTCACACGAATTCATGAACAGCACACTGACAGACAAAATTCAAGATCACGTGAATTCATATACTGCATTCAAACATTTGCACAAATCAAGAAATGACAGCACATCTGCAACCATAATCAGACTGCACAAAACAGCAAACTAAAAGGGTGAGGCAGACCAGAGAACTAGGTAGGATCGAAAAAAGAATAATAAACCAACTCAGAATTGGTGTTATTATCTGCTACATGCTGTAGAATTTACCGAGGAGAGGATCCGAATACTTATGGACTGAATGCTTCGATGTGCAATGAGGATGACATGTCGACTAACTAACTAGCCAGCTAACTAATTAGCTAGCTAGCTAGCTAACTAACTAACTAGCTAATTAAATAACTGGCTAACTAACTAACTAGCTAGTTAATCAGTTAGCTAGCTAGCTAGTTAATCAGTTAGCTAGCTAGCTAGATAACTAACTAACTAGCTAGCTAGTTAGTTAATTAGTCAGTTAGCTAGCTAGATTAACTAACTAGTTAGCTAACTAACTAACCAACTAACTAGCTAACTAACTAACTAGCTAACTAACTAATTAACTAGCTAACTAACTAACTAGCTAGCTAGCTAACTAACTAACTAACTAACATCACACAGACATACAAATACTGACAGATATTCTTGCAGCCTGCACACACAAATGGGGCCAGATGAGCAACAGCAACAGAGACTGCACTTCGATTGTGATAGTTTGTGAGGGACCCAGAAGGCAGGACACAACATGTTGTGACAACAATCTCTGTGCGGACACTAATGACGTCTTTCACGCGCTCAGTCGTCACAGACTGAAACAGGGCAGGCGATGAGGTGGACGTGCGCTGGGGACACAAGAAATGATAAAATTATTTGTAGTAAGTACATTCAGATGTAGTCTTTCATAGCGTTTTTATTTTTTTTTTATTTTTTATATCTAAAAACACCTTTACAGACAACATGTAGTATTTTGGCTGTCACAAACTGTAATGTTGGTATCTTCCCACTGTGATTCCCTAAGCAATAATATGGGAGTAAACCTCAAGATAAGACAGAAATACATGAGAACATGAATACTCATAGAAACACGAGATATTCAAGTAGGGCTCAGACCAACATGTGAAACCCAGACCGAGGGTTATAAGGTTAGACCAAGGTGTAATCAGTTAGTATGTGTTTGGCAGCTGGGGTGAAAGGTTCATCTGATGGACGCATTCATGTGACAAAGTATATTTGACGATGTGAGGAGTTCTGTTCTGAGAGAAGACCGCAAGATGACAGTCTAATCCGAAGTGGCATCCAACCAGTTCCAATCAGTCAAGAATTTGAACCACCATGATCACAACTGCTGGATCAACCATTGTGTGTATTCTGCATGTGAGGATACAGGACTGAAGGTAACGAGTGTGAACGAAAGAAGATGCACAGTTTATGTCTGATAAATGTCATTTTATCTTACTGGACCTGCCAGTAGACACTCCGACTCCCTACTGAGAGGACGTGTTTTTTCATAGTTCTTAGTTCTTACTATTTGTATTTTTATTCTAATTGTGCCTATGAACTACTATCGTTGTAATCGTTATTTCGTTAGACGTGTAGTAAAATATTGTTTCATGCAATTAGATGTCATGATTGCATACAAATGTGGTTTTTGTAGCATTCTCAAATATATTTTGAGCGGAAATGTGCCGATGATACAGACACATGAACCACGGACGTGAAAATCAGTGGGCGTTTTGTCCGCGTCACTGAGATTTATCACCACCCAGAACACTGGCTAACCGAGAGACGTCCCGCAAGTGTCACACTATACAAACGAAACATGTGTGACTACGATAGGACTGAGCATTTTTAAAAGATAGTAATGCTAGGGAAATGCTAGCTGCTGGACTCACTCAACGAACTATAGGCATCCGGACCATCCCATTGATACAATGATAATACGAAGAACATTATACGCGCGGTATTTCCAACGGTTATTAAAGGCGACTTGCCTATCTGTGTGAGACAGAAAGAGGACAATAATTCTTACACCAGTAAAACGTGGAATATGAAACCAGGCCATCAACCAATATACGCCCCGCTCTCTCGGACACCTAGACGCCGTTTAATGGAGCAACATTTGTTCTGAAGCAGGCTGGTTCACGAATGGAAGAAGAAATAATTACAGACACTCCGAATTCTCTTCCTGTAAATATTTCACCTTTCTTCGCGATGACATCACATCAGGATACACTAGATACACCTGAGAACACTACATTCTCTAAGCACCCAATTTACCTGCAGGATTCAAGTTCACGCGGCTCTACCCTTCACAACAGTTCCATCTGTGACCATGTGGCCACCTAGAAATTAACATAGAGACACAGCACTTGATTTTTTGTTCTCAGGCCTTGATCGATGCACGCAAAAAATGTATGGCTGACAACAAGCACGCTTGGATATCGAAACAGAAGACTCAATGAACGCTATACATGTGCTATAATTAGCTACGCGGTGATCCCTCTCTCTCTCACTCTCTCTCTCTCTCCATCTCTCTCTTTCTGTCTACGCTGATTTATGCATGTATTGGCTGAGCTGTCAATGATTATTATTAGTCATCGCTAGTGTATTACTATTGTTAGAACCTAGAAAATATGAATGCAACCCCTGGTGGCTTGCAGAATACATTTTTCAAGCAATGTTACCCTACCACAAAGTATGCATCTCTTTCTGAAACCGTCCCTTGGGTGTACTTTTCTACGGCAGTCCTTTATTACAGCCAACTTTCTGTCACAGCAGGGACTGTGTCTGATCTGACTGAGCCATTTGAATTTACTGTCCCCTTCTTGGAGCCAGTCATGCCGACCTTGTGTGCATAGGGAATTCCCTGTGTCAGTGTCTTACATATGTGTGGTCATTCTGCAGATTCTTCCCTTGTCTCACTCTCTCCCTCTCCCGATATATATATATACTTATATAAATATGTAGTCATGTGTGCTGCACCAGCAAGCAAGCGGGTGGCAGGTAATGAGTGTATGTATATGAGTGTGTGTGTGTGTTTTTTTGTTTTTTTTTAAACTACTGCACGTTTGAGTATGCGTGCTGAATTTTATTAATACAGTGAGATAGTATTTTGGCTACGGGACACCAGTAGCACACATATATCTTCGTGTAGGGAGTCGGCAGTCCGAAACCCAAGTTCAAGGTGTCTCCTTCGTGCCAAAGAACTGCATGGCTGTTGGGTGAACAGTCGTTAACGAAGGCAGTCAGGTCGTTGTTTGGGCGACGCTTGATGGTGGATGTAATGTCCTTAATTCCCTTCTCCAGCTAATACTAGGGTACTGCTGGGGTGATAGTTTATTAACCCTCACATAATGCTTCAGGTCCAAATGAACACTAGGCACTGCCACTGTTTTGAACCACGGCAAACATTTTTTGCTTCTGCCAGACTGTGGCCGTTGATTTTTTGCTCCTTTTGTAGACTAGAAGTATACAGTTTCGTTACCCAGCTTCTGAGTTGAGTGCATGGCGTGACACTGTGAGCTGCGGATTTTATTTGGAATGTTTTTCGACTGACCAACGTGGTGGTGGGATTTGTAGATTCAGAAAATGGCGCGATGCCGGTTGTCGCAATATTGGTGGGCCATTATTTGATTAAAATTGATCGCGTGTGCAACTGCTGATCTTTTGGTGACTTCTGCTACCATCAATGATGAACTGCATTTCTAACGTAAGACTGTTTTGTTAGCACTTCGGATGGCTACCATATGCTTTCAGTATTTCCACAGACCAGACCAGATCACCTGTGAAAGTGTAATAAAAAATATTAACTGGATATCGTCTACATGTTACCAGCTGCGTGCATGCAGAATGTCATTCATGTCTTTCGTATGAACCAACCCCTAGCAACCAGTCAGCACACAGAGAAGACAATATCCCACAAACTATTCACCATTTTAGACACATTTATTAGTGACCTGTGTAAAAATTGTTGTCTTAACAGATTTTTTTATGGGATTCTAGCAGGGTCTTGACCTATTGTGTGCATGTGGTGTGTATGTGTGTGTGTTGTCTGTGTGATGCAAATGTGTGGTGGGTGTGTGTGCGTGCGTGCATGTGTGCGTGCATGCATGTGTGCACAAGCATGCATGTGTGTGTGTGTGTGTGTGCAAAACGGTTAAGCACTTAACTAAGAGATTTCCCCTAAGTTCCTGTGTCCCTGGCATCAGACTTGGCGTACTTCCCCTATACTTACTGGGTTCAAGTAACGTTTTCTGCTGTAGAAAGAGAGTGATTTCCCTTCCCATTTATGCCTCATCGTGTCGCAGAGCCTTTCCTATGTTGCGGGGGTTTTATGATATGGCTTGGTTCGGTGTTTGCTCGGCGAATATAATGTTTGTGGGAGATTGTGAGTCTCTTTGAGGCACCTGTGTACAAAAGAAGATGAGAAAAGTTACAGCGCTGACAATAAGGAAGACATGACACCCCCACAACACAGGAGAGGTCCTGCGATGCGATGAGGCATGAATGGGAAGGGAAGTCACTCTCTTTCTGCAACAAAATAAAATTACTGGCACAACTTACTGACAACTCAAACTGAGAGTTGACCACCCTCCAGTCAGAGCTAGGATCCGGCAGTGTTGTGGGGGGTGGTCCGGTCACAGTCGCAGCAGTTGTGGCATCAGTAACATTCATATCAGTGTCATTTGAAGTTGTCCCCACAGTTGTCGCAGCTGTTGTCACAGTGGTGGTTGTTGTAGTGGTAGTAGTGGTAGATGTAGTAGGAGCTGTGAAACAAAAAACACCAATTTACATGGATATTAAAAGTAAACTTAGCATTCTGTACATAATTCTCTAAACCTTTATAGTATCAGTGTACATAGTTCTCTATACTTGTGAATGTCTGTAGTATTAGTGGTCCTTGTTGGTCCTTATCCAACTCTGAAGCCCTGAGATGGTCCATTCCTTGAAAGGGGTCTTGGTTGGCTATGTAGACCCATGCTGTCCGCAGTGCCTCAAAACACATCACCTTCACCACACTGTGCTATGAGACAAAAAATACAAGTACCCCCAGAGACATAGACAACAGCGCCACAGAGTGGCAGTTAAATGATTCTGAGGTCCAGCGCCACAGAGTGGCAGTTAAATGATTCTGAGGTCCAGCGCCACAGAGTGGCAGTTAAATGATTCTGAGGTCCAGCGCCACAGAGTGGCAGTTAAATGATTCTGAGGTCCAGCGCCACAGAGTGGCAGTTAAATGATTCTGAGGTCCAGCGCCACAGAGTGGCAGTTAAATGATTCTGAGGTCCAGCACCACAGAGTGGCAGTTAAATGATTCTGAGGTCCAGCGCCACAGAGTGGCAGTTAAATGATTCTGAGGTCCATTAAAATAAGCTGAGAATCAATCATTCAGCATGTTTACAGAACGTCTTTCTCTTCACAGCATGCCAGAAAGACTCTTTCGCTAGCCAATACTCCAGCCTCCAGCAGCCATGTTTGCTTTCACAGCCGATGTGTCTTCACCGTCCAGTATCCACATGCGAGGAGATAGGCCTCTGCCTCGTTTTCCGGAAACTGCACCTTCCATCACCTTTCTGTCCAGACCACCATGGCCCTTGACATGTCCAAAATACATCAGCATCTGGGAGAGGATGCTGTTTATGAGTCAATTCTCCTTGATGTTCAGGTCATGCAGGATTTGGATGTATTTCTTCTTCTTGATATTCTAGGAAATTTTCTGTAGCATTTCAGTTCAAAAGCTCTGATTTTCTTCATCAAAGACACCAGAGTGAGACTCCATGACTGACATACAAGAAGAGAACCAGAGATAATTTTTAACATCTGCTGTCAGTGACAGGTTCTCAAGTTTCTCGTAAGTTTATACGCTGCAGGACAAGGTAACAAATGGAAGATAATGAAAACCTGCAACTGGAGAGACTGATGCAGCAGGGAGTGTCTGCAGCCTCTGGGCAGTATTGAAACTCAGGAAAAAGGCAACACAAGTAATTATCCAGATGACAACGGGTACTCTTAGTATGAGACACTTGGCTGGCTGTTCAGGAGGCAGATGGAGCTAATATGGGCTTGGCCTGAATGCTGTGATGTCGAATCTTTACCCAGATGACATACATTTTGTTTACTTTTAAAATCTTCATCTGTGTACCCCTGCATTCTTGTCAAATCTACACCACCATGTTTGTCATAAACCAAAGACACACCCAAGCCAGATGAGAAAATACAAGGTTAGATGAGATGCACCATATTTTCCTAAGTATAAGACGCATTTATTTTCCAAAAACATCATCATCATCATCAGGTGCCTTGCCGACTGGCATGGGCGATCATGCCTCTCCATAATCTGCGATCTCCTGCAGCATGTATCAGTTCGTGTGCCGACACATCTCCATGCCATGCAACAAGACTGTCAAGCATCTTCTCTCGTTATCTTCCTCTATCCCTCCTTCCACAGATCTTTCCAGTGGTCACAACATGTTCTATTTTCCCTCTTCTCATAACATGGCCAAAAAATTGATGACTGTCTCCTTCTGATGGCTGTGATAAGTTGTCTTTGGGCTCCCACCTCTTTCAAAACCTCTTGGTTGATCTTTTTGGCTGCCTTCTTCTGTAAAACCACATCTCTGAGGCCTCCAAAAACATAGGGTCTGAAAACAGTGTGAGTCTTGTACCAAATGATTTGTTAGAAAATATCCCATTCAGTGCCTCATTTGGGAATTCCAGTTCACGGGGCGACATAAAACAGAAGACAAAAATACAATTAACAGTTCTTTCCTGCTGTAACAGCTTTTGAGCTTGTCTTCACAGTCATTGTTTCACACTAGCTACATCAGCAATACCTGACTAGTTACACTAGGGATTCCTGTGTCCACTAAGATTCAACCACTTGATGTCAGCATTAACAAACTCTTTAAAGTTGCCATGACAGAAGAGCGCAACCAGCTGATGAAGCCGTCTGGGGACAATTTGACACCAGCAGGCAATGAGAAGAAACCAACTATAGCAGAAGTTTGTACTTGGGTGAAAAGATCCTAGAATAATGTGAAGATTGAGATTGTTGCCAGGTCATTCAAGAGGTATAGCATTTCAAATGTCACAGATGGAACTGAGGATGAGGTAGTATATGAAGACAGTGATTTGTCATCAGCTACAAACAAGGACTAGCTAAAGAACTATCATATGGATGAGAGTTTTCTTCTTCTTCTTCTTCACGTTTACCAGCTGTACACTCTGGCGGAAAGTTCTGGTTGTTCGTCCACTACTGAACTGCAGTCCTGCTCCAGAACCTGAGTGTTGCGTGTGCATCAGTTTTACAGATCTCATACTCTTGAATACAGACTGTTGGTTCCTTGCCTCTCCGGCAGACGCACTCCGACTTCAAAGGAAGCTTTCCAATTAGTTGACTCTTACGACATGCTTTTGGGGAGGCAGTTGGTCTATTCTTGTTTTTCCCTACAATGGGGCCCCGGAACCCACACGGGGGGGGGGGAATGAGAGTTTTAACAGTAATGAGTTTTCTGGATTCTGTGATGATTAGGAAATTGTTCAATGACTTTATTTTATCATATTATTATTTTTCTCCCAATTTTGGGCCCAAAATCAAGGTGCGTCTTAAACTTGGGATTGTCTTACATTTGAGGAAAACGGCAAATGCTAAAACTCACCTGCTGTAGAAGCTTGTGTAAATGAGCAGTCAGGTGGTCGAGCAGCTTCATCCATGGAACTGACAACACTGGCCTGGCACAATACCTTCACAGTGCCAGAATCCACAGGTTCATTCAGGTAGAAGAATGACTGAAAACAGTCAAACATACACCGATAAACAACATATGTAAACATAACAAATGTTTATATTAAATATGATAGATCCATGCAACAAATGTTTGTTTTGAATAAGAATTGTCCATACAATAAATGTTTGTAATAAATATTTCCATAAACAAATGTTTGCTTAAACAAAAGATATGTCCATACAACAAATGTTTGTATTTTTTTAAAAAAGATATGAACATACAATATTTTCTTCTTCTTCTGGTAGTCTGGTCTGGTAGTCTTAGTTTCAGCTTCATAGCATTTCTTCTTTCTGTTCACCTGCTGTAAAGCCTGGTGGAAAGGTCTGGTTGTTCGTCCACTTCTGGACTTAAGTCTTGCTCCAGAACGTGCATATCCATCTTACAGATCTGGCTTATTTGTACGCAGTTTGTTGGTACCCCGCCTCTCAGCCAGACGCACACTTCTAACGCAGTTTGTTGGTACCCCGCCTCTCAGCCAGACGCACACTTCTAACGCAGTTTGTTGGTACCCCGCCTCTCAGCCAGACGCACACTTCTAACGCAGTTTGTTGGTACCCCGCCTCTCAGCCAGACGCACACTTCTAACGCAGTTTGTTGGTACCCCGCCTCTCAGCCAGACGCACACTTCTAACGCAGTTTGTTGGTACCCCGCCTCTCAGCCAGACGCACACTTCTAACGCAGTTTGTTGGTACCCCGCCTCTCAGCCAGACGCACACTTCTAACGCAGTTTGTTGGTACCCCGCCTCTCAGCCAGACGCACACTTCTAACGCAGTTTGTTGGTACCCCGCCTCTCAGCCAGACGCACACTTCTAACGCAGTTTGTTGGTACCCCGCCTCTCAGCCAGACGCACACTTCTAACGCAGTTTGTTGGTACCCCGCCTCTCAGCCAGACGCACACTTCTAACGCAGTTTGTTGGTACCCCGCCTCTCAGCCAGACGCACACTTCTAACGCAGTTTGTTGGTACCCCGCCTCTCAGCCAGACGCACACTTCTAACGCAGTTTGTTGGTACCCCGCCTCTCAGCCAGACGCACACTTCTAACGCAGTTTGTTGGTACCCCGCCTCTCAGCCAGACGCACACTTCTAACGCAGTTTGTTGGTACCCCGCCTCTCAGCCAGACGCACACTTCTAACGCAGTTTGTTGGTACCCCGCCTCTCAGCCAGACGCACACTTCTAACGCAGTTTGTTGGTACCCCGCCTCTCAGCCAGACGCACACTTCTAACGCAGTTTGTTGGTACCCCGCCTCTCAGCCAGACGCACACTTCTAACGCAGTTTGTTGGTACCCCGCCTCTCAGCCAGACGCACACTTCTAACGCAGTTTGTTGGTACCCCGCCTCTCAGCCAGACGCACACTTCTAACGCAGTTTGTTGGTACCCCGCCTCTCAGCCAGACGCACACTTCTAACGCAGTTTGTTGGTACCCCGCGCCTCTCAGCCAGACGCACACTTCTAACGCAGTTTGTTGGTACCCCGCCTCTCAGCCAGACGCACACTTCTAACGCAGTTTGTTGGTACCCCGCCTCTCAGCCAGACGCACACTTCTAACGCAGTTTGTTGGTACCCCGCCTCTCAGCCAGACGCACACTTCTAACGCAGTTTGTTGGTACCCCGCCTCTCAGCCAGACGCACACTTCTAACGCAGTTTGTTGGTACCCCGCCTCTCAGCCAGACGCACACTTCTAACGCAGTTTGTTGGTACCCCGCCTCTCAGCCAGACGCACACTTCTAACGCAGTTTGTTGGTACCCCGCCTCTCAGCCAGACGCACACTTCTAACGCAGTTTGTTGGTACCCCGCCTCTCAGCCAGACGCACACTTCTAACGCAGTTTGTTGGTACCCCGCCTCTCAGCCAGACGCACACTTCTAACGCAGTTTGTTGGTACCCCGCCTCTCAGCCAGACGCACACTTCTAACGCAGTTTGTTGGTACCCCGCCTCTCAGCCAGACGCACACTTCTAACGCTTCTAAGTTTGTTGGTACCCCGCCTCTCAGCCAGACGCACACTTCTAACGCAGTTTGTTGGTACCCCACCTCTCAGCCAGACGCACACTTCTAACGCAGTTTGTTGGTACCCCGCCTCTCAGCCAGACGCACACTTCTAACGCAGTTTGTTGGTACCCGCCTCTCAGCCAGACGCACACTTCTAACGCAGTTTGTTGGTACCCCGCCTCTCAGCCAGACGCACACTTCTAACGCAGTTTGTTGGTACCCCGCCTCTCAGCCAGACGCACACTTCTAACGCAGTTTGTTGGTACCCCGCCTCTCAGCCAGACGCACACTTCTAACGCAGTTTGTTGGTACCCCGCCTCTCAGCCAGACGCACACTTCTAACGCAGTTTGTTGGTACCCCGCCTCTCAGCCAGACGCACACTTCTAACGCAGTTTGTTGGTACACCCGTACCCCGCCTCTCAGCCAGACGCACACTTCTAACGCAGTTTGTTGGTACCCCGCCTCTCAGCCAGACGCACACTTCTAACGCAGTTTGTTGGTACCCCGCCTCTCAGCCAGACGCACACTTCTAACGCAGTTTGTTGGTACCCCGCCTCTCAGCCAGACGCACACTTCTAACGCAGTTTGTTGGTACCCCGCCTCTCAGCCAGACGCACACTTCTAACGCAGTTTGTTGGTACCCCCACCTCTCAGCCAGACGCACACTTCAAACGCAGTTTGTTGGTACCCCGCCTCTCAGCCAGACGCACACTTCTAACGCAGTTTGTTGGTACCCCACCTCTCAGCCAGACGCACACTTCTAACGCAGTTTGTTGGTACCCCGCCTCTCAGCCAGACGCACACTTCTAACGCAGTTTGTTGGTACCTCACCTCTCAGCCAGACGCACACTTCTAACGCAGTTTGTTGGTACCCCGCCTCTCAGCCAGACGCACACTTCTAACGCAGTTTGTTGGTACCTCTCAGCCAGACGCACACTTCTAACGCAGTTTGTTGGTACCTCGCCTCTCAGCCAGACGCACACTTCTAACGCAGTTTGTTGGTACCTCTCAGCCAGACGCACACTTCTAACGCAGTTTGTTGGTACCCCGCCTCTCAGCCAGACGCACACTTCTAACGCAGCTTGTTGGTACCCCGCCTCTCAGCCAGACGCACACTTCTAACGCAGTTTGTTGGTACCCCCGCCTCTCAGCCAGACGCCACACTTCTAACGCAGTTTGTTGGTACCCTCGCCCCTCTCAGCCAGACGCACACTTCTAACGCAGTTTGTTGGTACCACGCCCCCGCCTCTCAGCCAGACGCACACTTCTAACGCAGTTTGTTGGTACCTCGCCTCTCAGCCAGATGCACACTTCTAACGCAGTTTGTTGGTACCCCGCCTCTCAGCCAGACGCACACTTCTAACGCAGTTTGTTGGTACCCCGCCTCTCAGCCAGACGCACACTTCTAACGCAGTTTGTTGGTACCCCGCCTCTCAGCCAGACGCACACTTCTAACGCAGTTTGTTGGTACCCCGCCTCTCAGCCAGACGCACACTTCTAACGCAGTTTGTTGGTACCCCGCCTCTCAGCCAGACGCACACTTCTAACGCAGTTTGTTGGTACCCCGCCTCTCAGCCAGACGCACACTTCTAACGCAGTTTGTTGGTACCCCACCTCTCAGCCAGACGCACACTTCTAACGCAGTTTGTTGGTACCCCACCTCTGCTGTCTCTTTTTCCACAGATCTTTCCAGTGGTCACATGTTCCATTTTCCCTCTTCTCACAATATGACCCAAAAAATAATGTCTCTGATGTTTGTGATAAGCTGCATTCGAGCACTCGCCTCTTTCAAAACATTTGGGTTGCTCTTCTTAGCTGTCCAAGAAATTCCAAGGATTCTTCTGTACAACCACATCTCCGAGGCCTCAAGATACTGTTTGGCTTGTTTATTAATTGTCCAGGCTTTAAAGCCGTATGTTAAAACTGGCTCTATATAGCATGTGAGAATTCTTTTCCTAACCTCCAATGACATGGAATTAGCGAACAAAATGTTCTTCAATTTAAAAAATAAAAAATTTTAAGTCACAAAGATATGATAAATAAAGACATGCAGATAAGGTATTGTATTAAATAAAAACAAGTACATCCAATAGACACATTATAAACAGCATTTTCATACCAACACTGTGCTACCAGTGCCAGACTTGGACATCATCAAAAGCTTACCTACATAAAATTAACACTTGTGGAATGAGATGCGTCAGAAAAGCTGCCATCTTAACCATCCAAGACAAAGTTAGAAATGGTATTATCAGACAGACTATAGCAACACCATGCAGCAAATTCTTTGAGAAACAGAAGATGAAATGGTCTGGTCATTTAGTAAGAAAGCAGCCAGAACAACTACCAGCGCAGGCGCTACACGTGAAAAGATCTAAAATGAAAGCAAGAGGCTGCCCTAGGAGAACATGGATAATGACATTCAAGAGTTTCTACATTGACATGGAATGACAGTAGCCATTGCTGCCCATCACACAACGCTTAATGGCAGAAGTGGAAATTGATAATGATGACATACAACAAATGTTTGTATAGAAAAAAAAGACATGTACATATAGTAAACGTATTAAATAAAGACATCTACAGACAATACATGTTTGTATTTTTTAAAGACATGCACCTGCAACAAATGTTTTTATAAAAGAAAGACACGAACATACAGTAAATGTCTATATTAAAAAAGGAGATGTACATACAGTAAATGTTGTGTTATATATCTGGGACCAGGCAGGCTGAAAGCTGACGGTGTTGTCTCCAATAATAAACAGTGCTGTTGATGCATCCACTGTGGACAAGCAGAGCAGGAATTTATAATTACATATAACTGTTTAAAAACAGACCTATTCACTTTCTTCTTCTTTCGTTCTCACCGTTAACCCCATCGTCTCCAGCAGACCACCGGCATCCGTGGCTTAGGCATTGCAAGTCCAACTCGTAATCCCAACTTACCGCAATCGAAACCCACTCCTGGAGGCATGAATTGTTATGATTGTATGGGGTGTCCCAGGTTGACCCAGCCTAAAATGGGTACCAGGATGGCTGTTTGGGGGGGGGGGGGGGGGGGGTAAAGACGGCTGGCGTAATGCTGACCACATTACCCACCTAGTGCTGATGGTCTGTAAAAATTAAGGGTACTCTTCCCATATACCCGATATGCCTTAAGGCAGGAAAAGGGATCTTTACCTTTTCTTTTTAAAACTCCAGAAGACCAAATCTAGTGCTTTCCGATTGTGACTCAGTCCGGCAAATGCTGATAAATCACCAGGTCTGCAATGATCTGTTCTCAAAAAGTGGTCCTATGTGCAACTGCACAGTGTTTAACTTGCCAGCATAGGTTGTTTTTTTTTTTTTGGGGGGGGGGGGGGGGGGTAAGTGAAAGATGATGGTGTTGGACAGGACACACATTAAGAAAACCTGAGGACAATATAACTAGAATGTCTCTACAATAAAACCCACAGGGGCATAGCAAAAAATGGCAGACCAAAAAAACATATGAAGAAGGTAGTTAAAGAGTGAAGTTTAAAATAAAAAAAAAAGACAAGGATGATATGGGGTGAGCAACAGCAAGGGAAAGGATGACTTGGGGTGAGTTGGTAGAGGACCTTGCTCTACTGAGGGATGAAGAGAAGAAGAAATAGCTAAAAGCTTGGAAGACAAACCATATTTTTTATGTGCACAAGATGTCTTCATTTATGAGACAACCCCTATTTTTTAGACCAAACAAATGAAATAAATATTGTAAACACATTTTAAACTTTAAAAAAAAATCTAGGAAAACATTGCTTTCACACGAAAAAATACAGTACTTTACTGAACCATTTTTTATCCCATTGCATTCACGACTGTTGGGTTCGCTCCCTCGCAGAGTAGGACTTTTTTAACAAATGACCTCAACTCCCAGGTCGACCCAGTCTTGAGTGGAAGTAGAGGCGGCTGTTGAGGGAAGTTGAGGGAAGTAGAGGCGGCTGGCGTGATACTGACCACATCACCTATTTTATGTTGATAGGTCTATAAAAATATAGGTCTAGCCCTATATGCCTAAAGGCGTGGAAAAGGGACCTTTACTGACTTTTTATTCACGACTGTGAACACCTAATATTACCGTGAGCAAGCAACACTTGCTAGATGTGGACAAGTAGAAAGGTCAGATATACATACTCACCCACTGTGCCACTGGTAAACTGCGCTCCCTGTGCTCTACATGTCACATTAGCTTGCGAGCCAGCTACCCCACTCAAAGTTAGGCAGGTCATCTGGAAGTTTGCAAACAAAACTACAGAAAATTGCAGCCTATAGGTCACGTTTTTTAAAGATGTGTGCAAGCGGGACATGAATGATACAGGTATTGAGGTGGACTCTGGGGAACAAAATGCTGTGGACCGTGTTGTGTGGAAAGGGCATATCAGGAAGGGAATGAGACTGAAGGAAAACAAGACTGCAGAAAGAATGAGAGCTGAGGGTCTGAAAAGAAACGGATTAAACAAACATTTTGACAACAGTGGTCCTGAAATCCCATGCTATCATTGTGGAAGACTTTTCTTGACACGGGCGGTTCTTGCTAGTCACACTCGCCATCGCCATGGGCTGTGAGTCTCATGCCTCCTCATAGCGCAATATAACACTATCTTCTGGAAAGACGGAAAGGTGCCAATCAATCAGGTCACGTTTTCAAGCGTTTGTAAAAAAAAAACTGTTCAAAACTAAAAGTCGAATAATATGGCAGGTATAAAATTTGTTCGGTAGGTATCGATCTAATTCAAGTTTCTGAGCTAAACTGACAGGTCGACTTGTACACAAGGTCGACTTGTATGCTAAAATTTACAGAATACAGTTTTTGCAACAAAAATATTAACTTTAGTCAGTTAAAAGCAATTTATAAACTAAATTAACAGACATTAGAAACATTCTTCTTCTTCTTCAGCTTTCCAGGTCCTTGAGGTTCACTGCTGCAGAAATCAGCCACCTCCACTCATCTCTCTGGTTGGCCTTCCCTTTTTAAGTTGGTGACACCAAGTGTTTGCAGGTCTGTCAGGACATTATCTCTCCATCGTCTTCTTGGTCTGCCTTATAAACTACAACCATTCATCTCCCTTGTGTATACAAGTTTTGACCTCTTTGCCATCTGACATTCTATCAACATGCCCCAGCCATTTCAACCTCATAATGCAAATGATCAGTGGTGATTTAAACAGATTATGAAGTCCGTTGCTGATTCTCACCCTCCATTCCCCGCTCTTTACATCTTGGATAGGTGAAAAGATTCGTCGTAATACATTATTTTCAAAAAACCTGTAATAACCCTTTATCTCTTTTAGTTGTGCTTCACATTTCAGAGCCATATAAAATGATGTCCTACATCGACATTAGAAACATTCGAATTAAAAAAAAAAATTTTAATGATATAAAAATAATTCTCTCATGTAAGTGATCCCACAGACCGTGGCTCTCATATAGTCGTCACCAATATGATGTGACACGCATGTAACACTGATCAGTGTCAGGTGCAACATTTGCAAATTTTGTATCTAGAATTTTCCTGGCCTGTCTTTTCTCTACTGATTGCTGAAGTACCATTTTAGAGAGGCCGGTAGATCTTGTTGCATGTCCGTTCCATTACATCTTCCGTCCGTACACTGTTGTTGAAAGAGGTTCATAGTTGCCAATGTGTAAATTAGTGTAATTTTTCTTTTCTGGTCGGTTGGAAGAATGCGGAGCTGTGCTGCACTAAAATGTCGGTCAATGTTCTTCATTATGATACAATGCATGTCACACTGAAATGCTGGTCAATGTTCTTCATTATGGTACAACGGATGTCACACTGAAACGCTGGTCAATGTTCTTCATTATGGTACAACGGATGTCACACTGAAACCCTGGTCAATGTTCTTCATTATGATACAATGCATGTCACACTGAAACGATAGTCGATGTTCTTCATTATGGTACAATGCATGTCACACCGAAACGATAGTCAATGTTCTTCTTTATGGTACAATGCATGTCACACTGAAACGATAGTCAATGTTCTTCTTTATGATACAATGCATGTCACACTGAAACGATAGTCAATGTTCTTCATTATGATACAATGCATGTCCCACTGAAACGATAGTCAATGTTCTTCTTTATGATACAATGCATGTCACACTGAAACGATAGTCAATGTTCTTCTTTATGATACAATGCATGTCACACTGAAACGATAGTCAATGTTCTTCTTTATGATACAATGCATGTCACACTGAAATGATAGTCAATGTTCTTCTTTATGATACAATGCATGTCACACTGAAACGATAGTCAGTGTTCTTCTTTATGATACAATGCATGTCACACTGAAACGATAGTCAATGTTCTTCTTTATGATACAATGCATGTCACACTGAAACGATAGTCAATGTTCTTCTTTATGATACAATGCATGTCACACTGAAACGATAGTCAATGTTCTTCTTTATGATACAATGCATGTCACACTGAAACGATAGTCAATGTTCTTCTTTATGATACAATGCATGTCACACTGAAACGATAGTCAATGTTCTTCTTTATGATACAATGCATGTCACACTGAAACGATAGTCAATGTTCTTCTTTATGGTACAATGCATGTCACACTGAAACGATAGTCAATGTTCTTCTTTATGGTACAATGCATGTCACACTGAAATGATAGTCAATGTTCTTCATTATGATACAATGCATGTCACACTGAAACGATAGTCAATGTTCTTCTTTATGATACAATGCATGTCACACTGAAACGATAGTCAATGTTCTTCTTTATGATACAATGCATGTCACACTGAAACGATAGTCAATGTTCTTCTTTATGATACAATGCATGTCACACTGAAACGATAGTCAATGTTCTTCTTTATGATACAATGCATGTCACACTGAAACGATAGTCAATGTTCTTCTTTATGGTACAATGCATGTCACACTGAAACGATAGTCAATGTTCTTCTTTATGGTACAATGCATGTCACACTGAAATGATAGTCAATGTTCTTCATTATGATACAATGCATGTCACACTGAAACGATAGTCAATGTTCTTCATTATGATACAATGCATGTCACACTGAAACGATAGTCAATGTTCTTCATTATGATACAATGCATGTCACACTGAAACGATAGTCAATGTTCTTCATTATGATACAATGCATGTCACACTGAAACGATAGTCAATGTTCTTCTTTATGGTACAATGCATGTCACACTGAAACGATAGTCAATGTTCTTCTTAATGTACAATGCATGTCACACTGAAACACACACCAAAAAACAAAAAAATGTCCTGTAAAGGATACGCAACTAACTTGAAAAAAAAAATTTTTTGTTAAAATTAAATGGTACAGTGGATGCGCATTGTGTGTGACATTTCACGGGACCAGAGTAGTTATGGAACAACCTGTCTGTAGCGAAGTTATCACTAATACTTGTCAATGTCACAATGCAACAGCTCACAAGAAAATACGTGGAAATCTTACTCTGCCATCCGTATTTCCAGCTGGAATCGTCAGTGTGCGGATGTCTAGCAGACCTGGGGAAGCAACAATAACATTAAATGTTACACTACAGCATTTGGCCAACTGCGAACACATGCCTTTGTCTTCTTCTCTTTCTCTTCCTCGATGTTACTTTAGCAGAAGTAGTGTCTTGACATCAAAGAAAATTAGTAACCATGGAAATGAGATGTCTGAGAAGAACTGCTGGAGTGACCAGAAGAGATCAAATCAGACATTAAGTCATAAAAGAAAAAGTCAACACAGAATCAATTCTAAATTACATACAAATCAAATAGTTTGCACACTTAGAGAGAATGCCTTGTGATGCCATACCATACAAGGCATACATCGAAATAGGATAAGGATGTAGAGCACAAGGTAGACCAAGAACAACGTGGAAAGATAACACCAGAGAAACTCTACAGTAGCAGGATGTATCTATGGCCAAGGCAGCCAGTATAGCAAGAAGCAGAAGCTTACACAACTCCCTCGAAACACAAAACGGTAAAAGAGAAAGTGAAGAAGAAGTGTGTGACATCTAGTCGTACACCTCTAGCTCAGAGATGATTGAATGATTGATTAGCACCTTTCCGTCTTTCCAGACAATGGTGTTATATTGCACTATGAGGAGGCCTGGGACTCACAGCCCATGGTGATGGCGATGGTGACCCGCCCGTGTCAAGAAAAGTCTTCCACAAAGATAGACGGAATTTCAGGACCACTGTTGTCAACATTTGTGTTGAATCCATTTATTCACAGACACTCAGCTCTCATCTTTTCTGCAATCATTTCTTCCTTCACTCTCATTCCCTTTCTTGATATGCCCTCTCCACACAACACAGTCCATGGCATTTTGTTACCATGAGTTAACCCCAATACTTGTATCATTCAGGAGACATGTGAGATATGTGTCGAAAAATTAGCATCCCTTTGTGTAAGATCCATTTCCTTCTTCACTTCCTCTCTGTGTGTCGATGGAGATACAAGGTTGTGGTTAGTGCTCTTCTGGCTGCCTTGACCACAGACATGTCGTGTTGTTGTGGAGTTTCTCTGATGTTATCTTCTTTTTTGGTCTTCCCCTTCCTCTGTGTCCCTCTCCTCTTTTGGGCTATACCTTGTATGGGGTGTCATCGCCAGGCATACTCTTTAAGTTGGCAGAACCTTTTTTATCTTCTGACTTTGTATGTCATTTAGAACTGATTCTAGACCTCTCATGACTTCATTCCTCTTCTACAGCCTGTCTTGGACATCACATTTCCACTATTACCTCTAGGAACATCATACCCAGGCTCTCTCTCTAACTTTAGACAGACTCCCCAGATCTAGCTAGCCAAGGATTATTACCCAAGCCTGCTTGCCAAATATCTTTAACATATTTTCTTCCGGTGTGGGTTCCAGGGCCCTATTATAGGGAAAACAAGAATAGACTCACTGCCTAACTAAAAAAGCATGTCGTAAGAGTCGACTAATTGGGAGCTTCCTTCGAAGTTGGAGTGCATCCACCTGAGAGGCAAGGAACCAACAGTCTACACACAAATGAGTCAGATCTGTTGAACGGATGCACATGCAACACTCAGGTTCTGGAACAGGAATAAGTGGACCAACAACCAGAACTTTCCACCAGAGTTTACAGCTGGTGAATGCAAAATAAAGAAGAAGTAACATATTTTCACCCAAACATTATTACCCAAACTTGCTTGCAAAACATCTGTTTGTTCATCCATATACCTTCATCATAATGGTAGTAATGAAATCTATCTATCCCAGAAGGTCACTAGAAGTGCCCCAGTGGGTCAAATGCGAAAGTAACAAAATAATGGGTTAACTACATCCACAGAGCCCAAATACACATCCCAAGTGGAAGATGAATGTGATATTGAGTGTTTTAGCATGCCCTGGCTAAACACAAGAAGTAAACAATGCAAAATTGTGTGTGTCTTTTCCACTCCCTCGTGCACAGTACTGGGCAAATAGCAATAGCATAATTTTTGGGGGAAGAAACTAGCACTCAAAGGCTGATATGATCATTATTAGGTTGGCAGTCTTTACTTCACAGAATATTTCCTGGTATTAATATTTTAGGAAGTTAAATGCATTTAAATACAAATGCCTGGGGAAAATTATGAAAAAAAAAATGAATTCAAAAAGAAGTGAAGAAATAAGAGAAATGTCTGGGCAACCACTAGTATCCACAGCTATAAGACGGAGAGATGGTGCTATGCTGGATACACGGTAGGCCCCCCCCCCCCCAACCACCACAATGAAGCTCTTGAATCCACACAGGAAAGTGGAGATTCAAACATGAGACCTCTGTGCAAGAAAACATGCTAGCTACATCTTCAGCTGCTATTTATCATGGTAGTCGAAGCTTACCATCTGAATTTACTCACAACAACATTTGTAACAAGAGCACGGGATGGAAAAGATGGGGTCAATATGGGGTTGAGCTGCATGCCATGGTAGATAGGATAGGATAACCTGGCGTGAGCTGGTTAAGGGCCTATGCTTCACTTGGGGGGAGGGGGTGGGGAGGGCAGAGGAAAACATTTGTGAGATATTCACAGATGGGACACCTGCCTTTACCATCCTAGTCAAGCCTTACTCTATGATGGCTTCACCTGTGCTATTAATGTACACAGTGTTTATATTGCAATCCAGTTTTGTCAATGTTTGTTCTGTCGAGCATCTTTTTCTTTTTCACATTCCCCGGCTGTAAACTTTGGAAAGTTCCAGCTATTCATCCATTTCTTGACTCTGGTCCTGTTTCAGAACTTGAGTTTTGCGTGCACATCAGTATTACAGATGAGGCATATTTGTGTGCATACCGTTGATTCCTCACCTCTTAGGCAGATGCACTACAACTTCAAAGGAAACACTCCTAAATTATTTGACTTTGAAAGAAACCTCAAACTAGTCAACTCTTACAACATGCTAGTTAGGAAGGCAGTGGGTCAGTTCTTGTTTTCCCCGGAACCCATATGAGGAAAGTATCCTCCAAATTAAGACTGAAAACTTTTTTAGCAGACTTTGTAAATACAGACTATAAAGAGTGCTGACATACCTGGTGAAGCGGAGCAGCTCACAGTCACAGAGCCAGTAGCCGGCTCACTGAATATTGGAAATAACACATGACAAATTAATATTGGAAAAGACACAGTGCAAATTAATATTGGAAATGACACATCACAAATTAATATTGGAAATGACACATCACAAATTAATATTGGAAAAGACACATTGCAAATTAATATTGGAAATGACTCATCACAAATTAATATTGGAAATGACACATCACAAAATAATACTGGAAATGACATATCTTCTTCTTCTTCCTTTTTTAAGTCCTCTTTTAGCGCTTCAGGTGTCGAGGGAGATATCAAGTCCTGCTTCGTGCTCTTATCGAAATGACACATCACAAATTAATACTGGAAATGACACATCACAAATTAATACTGGAAATGACACATCACAAATTAATACTGGAAATGACACATCACAAATTAATATTGGAAATGACACATCACAAATTAATACTGGAAATGACACATCACAAATTAATATTGGAAATGACACATCACAAATTAATACTGGAAATGACACATCACAAATTAATACTGGAAATGAACTCTTCACTTGCTGCTGAAGATGGGGGACCGAGAGCTTATGGTAGTGTCTAGAGGGCAATGATGTCGATTCTTAACTGAATATTTAACATCCAATCGATTCAGAACCAGTGCAGACATGGAGGTCCACAACATCTCTCAACCCTTCTAATTTTTGTGTTTACTAGTGACATAGCCTTAGCTCAGCGTCGAGTATTTAGGACAACAGGTCTTCCCTTCCCTTGAACCTTATTTCTCATGAGTAAGGACTGTTTCCTTCAACCCTCCTCCTAGGGGTGGTTAAATGCATTACAAACATCACAGAGGCGTAGAGCATCTGTGGGTCTCGTTATGAGAAAAGAACAACTGAGATCTTCCAGTGGGAAGGATTTATGGAAAAAGAGATACAGAAAGAAAACAGGAGAATATCTTGAATCTTTCATCGTTTCATGGAAAATATAACATGAATTTCATAAACATATACCTTGTGTAGGAGAAGTGAGATGTACACAAATTATGATCACTTATACAGGTCAATGAAACACCCGCTGATGGTCTCAACATTGTTCATTCTTTATTTTTGAGATCATCTTCATCGCACATCAGACAAGACCATAAGTGCTCCGATCTCCTCCTGAATATGTCTCCAAAATATGAATATGTCTCTGCATATGAAAAAACGAATGAATGAATCAATATTGCACTCGGGAATGTCCATATGTGATGCATCCCTTTCCTCAGCAGCCAATGAAGAGTACCAGCACTGATGATGCCAGTTGCTGCCTGATTAAAACGTCACCTGTTTTCCCCGCTATGTGCAAACATTTCACTAAACTGCTCAATAAAAATGACTCCTACCTTAAACGCACAGAGAATCCGCAGTCAGATCCAATCCCGTGGTTTTTTATGCGGACAAGTCGCTGACAAATTGAAACGCTGCCTTCAGGTTTTATTGTGATGGATCTGTGAAAAGGAACATTCAACTTCAACACAACTAGCTATGGGTAAAACTCAACAATAACCTTTCACTGTTAAAATAATCTGTGTTGTCAACTAAGCAGACATGCAGGCCTTAAGTTGTCTTTGTTAGCATCAATGGTTAATCTCCTTCAGTATTCTTCTTCTTCTTCTTAGCATTCACCGGCCGTAAACTCCAGCAGAAATTTCTGAATGTTCATCCACTTCTGGACTTTGGTCTTGATCCAGAACTTGAATTTTGCATTCACATCTGTTTCACAGAATTTGCTTATTTGTATGCAGACTGTTGGTTCCTCACCTCTCAGGCCGAGGCACTCTGACTTCAAAGGGCCAACAAATGCTGGGGTTAGTTCAGGGGTTACAGTAAAAAATGGATTAATTAATCAAAGTACAGGGGAAAACTGAACAATAGTGGATTTTAACATGTATGTTAGGGTGAGATGAGACGTCAGCATCCTGCATGAATGGAGCATTAGTGAGAATGGGATAGCATCCTCTCCTGAAGGCTGCGGTATTTTGGACAAGTCAAGTGTCATGTTGGTCTGGAGAGAACAAAGATGGATGGTGCATTTTCTGGAAAACCAGGCAGAGGTCAACCGGTGAATACAGGGGAGTGAAGATGCACTGGTTATAAAAGCACATAGGGCTGGAGAACTGGCTAGAGAAAGAGAGACTTTCAGGCATGTCGCGAAGAGAACCACATTATGCAAAGGACCTACTGACTGACTAATAATTTTAAAAAATAACAAGGAGAACTAATTACCTGTATCAGAGCAGACCAATTTCAATTTTTTTGTTGGGGGTGGGGGTTGGGGGCATAGAAGAGGTGGGGGAAAATGGAACATTTAGAGACAGGAAAAGTTGGAAGGGAAGAAAGCTAGAGAGAGACCAAGAGAAAATATGAACATTTTGGCATCATGGTACGAAGGAACATTATCCTCACCTTTAGCAAGTACTTAGCAGAACGTTGCTCTCATCACAGTCTACCTGAAAGAAACTGTCTAGCCAGCTCTCCCATCTCATGCATTTTCCTTTCCAAGGAATCATATCCTGTGCCTATCTTTCTACCATCATCCTACTGCACCTTCATTTACCGATGAGTTTCTTTACCTTTTACCCCTTCACTGATTAACCAAAAAAAATGAATAACAAAAAGCTGTTCCTCTTTGGTTCATGTTTAAAGTGGCATGACCATCTTTAATCTGTTATTATACTGTCAAAGTGTTCATCTGCAGCATGCTCAACACTCTTGACATCCTTACTAACAATACAGACAGGTTAAAAGACAGTGGCATGGTTACTGTAATTTCTATCGCAAATTTTAATCACACTTTTAAGCATTCATTTCATGAGAATTGTGAAGCACCTGTGATAAGCTTTAAGCTACAGAGACCCACAGAGATTAGAGAGGACATGAAAAACTTACACAGAATTGGATTTTGATGTGGCAGGGCAAAACTGATCCCTCCCAGCAGCCACTAAGCAGGATGAATTCTTCGACTCTCCAGAACAACTCACTACAACAGGTCGTCCGGCTTTGTTTAGTCTGGAAATTTTCATTGCAAACTATCAATACATGAACTAAAAGCCGAGTGCATAAAATATCCATTTTCTGTGAACAGTCAACAATACCATCATTAATCTTTCTCACTGAACAACTTGTATATTCTTTCTTACTAAACAAATGGTATATTCTTCTCACTGAACAGCTTGTATATTCTTTCTTACTGAACAGATGGTATATTCTTCTCACTGAACAGCTTGTATATTCTTTCTTACAGAACAGATGGTATATTATTCTCACTGAACAGATGGTATATTTTCTTACTAAACAGATGGTATATTCTTCTCACAGAACAGCTTGTATATTCTTTGTTACTGAACAGATGATATATTCTTTCTCACTGAACAGCTTGTATATTCTTTCTTACTGAACAGATGGTATATTCTTTCTCACTGAACAGCCTGTCTATTCTTTCTTACTGAACAGATGGTATATTCTTTCTCACTGAACAGCCTATCTTTTCTTTCTCACTGGACAGATGGTATATTCTTTCTCACTGAACAGCTTATACATTCTTTCTCAATGAACAGCCTATATACTCTCTCACTAAACAGATTTTATATACTTTCTCACTAAACAGCTTTTATATTCTTTCTCATTGAACAGCTTATATATTCTTTCTCACTGAACAGATGGTATATTCTTTCTCACTGAACAGCTTGTATATTCTTTCTCACTGAACAGATGGTATATTCTTTCTCATTGAACAGATGGTATATTCTTTCTCACTGAACAGCTTTTATATTCTTTCTCACTGAACAGCTTTTATATTCTTTCTCACTGAACAGACGTTATATTATTTCTCACTGAACAGCTTATATATTCTTTCTCACTGAACAGCTTTTATATTCTTTCTCACTGAACAGCTTTTATATTCTTTCTCATTGAACAGACGTTATATTATTTCTAACTGAACAGCTTTTATATACTTTCTCACTGAACAGACGTTATATTCTTTCTCACTGAACAGACGTTATATTATTTCTCACTGAACAGCTTTTATATTCTTTCTCACTGAACAGCTTTTATATTCTTTCTCACTGAACAGCTTTTATATCTCTTTCTCAACAGACGTTATATTCTTTCCGCTCACTGAACAGACGTTGATATTATTTTTCACTGAACAGATGTTATATTCTTTCTCACTGAACAGACATTATAATCTTTCTCACTGAACAACATTATTTTGAATATTCTTTCTCACTGAACAGACTTTATATTATTTCTCACTTGAACAGACGTTATATTCTTTCTCACTGAACAGACGTTATATTCTTTCTCACTGAACAGACTTTATATTCTTTCTCACTGAACAGACTTTTATATTATATTCTTTCTCACTGAACACTGATTTCTCACAGAACAGACGTTATATTCTTTCTCACTGAACAGACGTATATTCTTTCTCACTGAACAGGTGTTATATTCTTTCTCACTGAACAGCGTTATATTCTTTCTCACTTTATATTCTTTCTCACTGAACAGACGTTATATTATTTCTCACTGAACAGCTTTTATATTCTTTCTCACTGAACAGACGTTATATTCTTTCTCACTGAACAGACGTTATATTCTTTCTCACTGAACAGACGTTATATTCTTTCTCACTGAACAGACGTTATATTCTTTCTCACTGAACAGACGTTATATTCTTTCTCACTGAACAGACGTTATATTCTTTCTCACTGAACAGACGTTATATGCTTTCTCACTGAACAGGTGTTATATTCTTTCTCACTGAACAGGCGTTATATTCTTTCTCACTGAACAGGCGTTATATTCTTTCTCACTGAACAGACGTTATATTCTTTCTCACTGAACAGACGTTATATTCTTTCTCACTGAACAGACGTTATATTCTTTCTCACTGAACAGACGTTATATTCTTTCTCACTGAACAGACGTTATATTTTTTCTCACTGAACAGGTGTTTATATTCTTTCTCACTGAACAGGCGTTATATCTTTCTCACTCACGTTTATTTTTTCTCACTGACACGTTTATATTCTTTCTCACTGAACAGGTGTTTATATTCTTTCTCACTGAACAGGCGTTATATCTTTCTCACTGAACAGGACGTTATATTCTTTCTCACTGAACAGACGTTATATTCTTTCTCACTGAACAGGCGTTATATTCTTTCTCACTGAACAGGTGTTATATTCTTTCTCACTGAACAGGCGTTATATTCTTTCTCACTGAACAGGCGTTATATTCTTTCTCACTGAACAGGCGTTATATTCTTTCTCACTGAACAGACGTTATATTCTTTCTCACTGAACAGACGTTATATTCTTTCTCACTGAACAGACGTTATATTCTATTCTCACTGACAGATTCTTTCTCACTGACAGACGTTATATTCTTTTCTCACTGAAACGTTATATTCTTTCTCACTGAACAGACGTTATTTCTTTCTCACTGAACAGAACAGAACGTTATATTCTTTCTCACTGAACAGCGTTATATTCTTTCTCGACTGAACAGACGTTATATTCTTTCTCACTGAACAGACGTTATATTCTTTCTCACTGAACAGACGTTATATTCTTTCTCACTGAACAGACGTTATATTCTTTCTCACTGAACAGACGTTATATTCTTTCTCACTGAACAGACGTTATATTCTTTCTCACTGAACAGACGTTATATTCTTTCTCACTGAACAGGTGTTATATTCTTTCTCACTGAACAGCGTTATATTTTTTCTCACTATATATTCTTTCTCACTGAACAGGTGTTATATTCTTTCTCACTGAACAGGCGTTATATTCTTTCTCACTGAACAGACGTTATATTTTTTCTCACTGAACAGGTGTTATATTCTTTCTCACTGAACAGGTGTTATATTCTTTCTCACTGAACAGACGTTATATTCTTTCTCACTGAACAGACGTTATATTCTTTCTCACTGAACAGGCGTTATATTCTTTCTCACTGAACAGACGTTATATTTTTTCTCACTGAACAGGTGTTATATTCTTTCTCACTGAACAGGTGTTATATTCTTTCTCACTGAACAGGTGTTATATTCTTTCTCACTGAACAGGTGTTATATTCTTTCTCACTGAACAGGTGTTATATTCTTTCTCACTGAACAGACGTTATATTTTTTCTCACTGAACAGACGTTTATATTTTTTCTCACTGAACAGGTGTTTATATTCTTTCTCACTGAACAGGTGTTATATTCTTTCTCACTGAACAGGCGTTATATTCTTTCTCACTGAACAGATGTTATATTCTTTCTCACTGAACAGCTGGTACTGAAAACAAATGCCTGAGGAAATTTATAAACATAAAATGGAATTAATTCAAGAGGAGTGAAGAAATGAGAGAAATGTCTGGACAACGCTAGTAACAACAGTTATAAGACAGAGAAGATGGCGCTAGGCTGGATAGACACTGAGAAAAGATGAACAGAGAATCACTAAAAAGGCACTGGAATCAGAAATAAAGGTCTGAGAAAGAGAGGTTATCCAAGAGAAACCAGACGGTGAACATCAATGAGAGAAGATAGAAGTGCTGGACTGGATCGCATCCATGATATCCACTGGATTGCATAGGTCAGAACAGAATGGAGAAATAGACTGTGAGCCCTATGTGATACATAATGACACAACAGGACAATGAGAATGTTTTTTTAATATCTGTCGGCACTGACTAATTAACTAGAGTCGGCTCTAGACACACCTACATGTGCTCAGTCTCCCGCTGCAAATGCTAGAGTATAGGGAGGCTGCTTGTTCTCACGGTGCATTAACATTTCACAAATAATTTTATTAGACATGAAATTTTATCTTACACAAGTGGAATCTGTGTAAAATTTTCTCCAGCGTCCAATTCTGTAGAACCAATCTGAACATCAGAGAATCCAAAACCACCAGCAGAAACAGTACAGGATATGTTGACCTGAAAAGTATAGACAACTTATCATGTATAAACATTCACTGAATAGATCATCATCATCATCAATTTCCACTTCTGCTGTTGAGCTCAGTGGGGAGGAAACAGTTTGTAATCCATTGCTTGACGGGCAGAAATGGCTGTGGTCATTCCGTGTCGATGCAGAGGCTTTTTAATGTCATCAATCCATGTTCTCCTAGAGCGGCCTCTTGCTTTCACATCAGATATTTTCATGTATAGCGCTTGCATTGGTAGTTTTCTGGCTGCATTCTTAATAGATACTGTAAAAGATTACTGTCTGCTGATTCTCAGTTCGCTACTCCTTGTTTACCATTACTACACTGCTTTTCTTAAGAACTGCCATTACTGTCTGCTGATTCTCAGTTCGCTACTCCTTGTTTACCATTACTACACCGCTTGTTAAGAAATGCCATTACTGTCTGCTGTAGTTTTACTCCACTTTACCAACAATGTACCGCTTGGTTGGTGTCTGGGGGGGGGGATCAATGTTGCAGGGTGGGGGGGGGGGGGATCTTTGAGCCTGAGGATGTGCGGCCTCATGGTAAGTGCTGTCATCATGGACTGCACAGGTTAGGATTCTATCTTTGCTCCCAACAACAAAATATCTACAACATTACCGGGGATTTGCACCTGGGTCTCCCGCATGAAAATCCAGCACTCTTAACTGTTCAGCCAGCTGCTACTCCGCTACATCATTACTATACTTTATATCAATCAATTAATCAATCAATCCACATCACGCCCAGAGGCACATAAGGCAAAGACAAACTGTCACCATCAATTCAATCCTGAGCCATCCTATCTACCTCCAGTTTTGTCCTTTACATAGCATTGAGTTCAGCCTCAAAGGTTTGCCTCCAAGTGCCTCTGGGCCTATCACTTCCTCGCTGTCCTTGTAGTGTCTATTGCATTGCCTGTCTCTCCTTCTTAATTCTGAGGACGTGTCTAATCCATCTCCATCTCCGTTTGTTTTATTTCTAAATTTACACCTTCTAAGTCTGTCATCTGTTGTAATCTAAAACTGCTGATTTTATCTTCTAATACAGTTTATATGAC